GATCAAAACTCACCTTTTCGAAAATTTCAGTCAGAAAAAAACGCTCCCTAAAATTCTAGGTGACCTTTCTAGGGTAAAAATCCGTTAAAAATGGGCAATTATACCATTTTTTAAATGTTCGAAAATCCTAAGAGAGGCGGGCAAGCAAGAAATATTACAATAAATCATCCGAAAATTCTAGATCTTGAATCATCTTCCGAACAGATATTTTCCGAAAATTGACGTTGGGTGCCCCTGTTATTTCCGCCTTTGATGTTTCTCGGGTTTCATAAGCAGTCTCCTCTCTTGACTATGTCTTGATCATATAACATGAAACTTAAGATAGATCAAAAAGCCAAATTTCTTTGCAAATGTTAGCCTTAATTGTCTTGTCCCCCTCCAGACTATACGCCCTGATAAAATATATATTCCTGGACATTTGCCAAAACCCCAGCAATAGCTCAATAATAATAGTCCATTGGAATTCTTTAGAAAAACACTACGTGATCAGAGCCGTAGCTAGCGGAGAGGCAAGAGGGGCAGCAGCCCCTCTCGGACCTGTTGAGATAGACACATCAAGTCTGTGGATGGATTTGTTTTCTTTAGACTCAGTTAGTTTGATTATAGTGATTTGCAATTGTTTGCCATTTTCATATTCGAGGTCGATTTTTCGGAGACATATCTCATGACAAGTGCTGAAAATAGCGTTTCGGAGCCTCCAAGTTGAAAACTTTCTGGGGGAGGATACCCCCACACCCCCCTACAAGGTTCGTGCGTTCGGCACTCGCGATAATTTACCTCGTTACAAAAAACCTAGCCACAGCCCTGGTGATGTTTAAATCCGATCAGAGCAGGGTAAAATTTATATTAGGTCGCTAACGCCTTTTCGTGGAGTAAGATCGTATCTTGCCATTATCATTCATTCAAAATATTTCATTGTTTCAGATTGGCTTTGATCCCCCTAAGCTTGAGATGTGGGCGATATACAATCGCGGATTTAAGCTCGATTATATTGGTAATTGGACTGTTCACAGTCCTCTATTTATTACATACTAGATCATCAGGATCGAGAGCTTACTGGTATGGGCGGCTATCTTGGATCCATAACCGTCCCCCGCCCCCTAAGTAGATTTGACACTCATCCCCAGGCTAAACTAAAAACATTCGAAACCAAGATGGCCGCCATAACGCAAAGCGCTCGATTTCAAAGATCTTATGGAAAAAGTGGGGAACTGTCAATAGTCCAATTACCAATGCCGATCCCAACCTCGTTTCTAGTAAGCGGTGCGGTAGCCCAAAGGTTTTGCCTAGAGTGCAGAACTCACTCACTGAACGGAAAACAATGCATAAATACGCAAAGTATATATTCATCTCGTTGTATTTTTTTGTGAGGAATGGCAGATATCTCGGAGGGTTTTATCAACCTCGGCCTTCGGCCTTATGGAGGATAACATCCTTCTCAATCGATTTTTTTTTCATATCATACTCAGCTTGCCTCATTCATTTGTTTTAAAACATTCGAATGACTGGTTTTCTGCGTTGGTCGAGTCACTTTTACTATATCTTAAAGTTTCAGTAATTAACTGGCTTTTCAATTGTATTTAATTTATTAATATTTGAACAAGATCTAACATTGTTCTTAATAATAAATACAAATTATTCATGACGCTGATATTTTTCATAGCAATCCTCATAAAGAAAGCGAAAAAAAAGGAAATTAAAATCGAAACTTTTTGCATTGATGACTAGATAACTCCCTTCATTAATTTATCTCAATAACATTTTCAGGTTAAACTACTAATCGCGGGGCGAGTATTGAAAAGCCTGTGAGTTAAGATATCTACATGGATAACTCAAGCCACGTTGGAAACGAGCCTTGCTCTGAGGCAGTTTCTATTGTCTTCACAACAGTGTTGGCTATAATAGTTTGGATGCGTTTATTGGCAACATTTTAGTGATGACGGTGGTTTACAAGACCCCAAGCCTTAGAACAAGTACCAACTACAATTAAGTCAACATGGTGGTATCAGATTTCCTTTCTAGTCTTACATTATGGCCACTGTACCTCACTGACGAGATAATAACACAGCGAGGAAGCCTGATTAAAGGCCCAATGCTCACTGTCGGGTGTAAAGTTGGGATGTACGTGAGGGTAGTCTCCACCTCAGTCTCTATTCTCAGTTTGGTGTTGATTGCAACCGACAGATACTTTGCTATTGTATTTCCCTTAAAAAGTTCAATTCTACTGTCACGAAGAGTTAGAATAACTGCACTAGTAGCAACGTGGGTAATATCGATGGGCTATTGCTTCGCTATGATATATTTCTCCAAAGTGGAAGACGTGGGAGAAGAGCGTTTCTGCAGATTTGCGTGGAACGATACTGGTGCTATCATAAAATCTATTACGTCAGTGGAATTTCTATGATTAATGTTGCGCCTCTAATTGGGATTGTGATTTTGTATTCTCTTATTATCCAAGCATTAAGGAAAAAATTCAATGCAGGACCCCTTTGTAGAAACACAAATTCAGAAGGCAAAAGATGCAAGCAATTGCAACACATTATGAAAATATTCAAATCAATTGTGATAGCCTATTCTGCTTGCTTTTTTATTTTTTGCGTTTATTTGATTTTAAAGATGACTTTCCATGATATTTTCATCAAGGATAAATGTAAGTGGATTCTTGGCTTTTCCTGTTTTGTTCTTCCGTTGCTCAGCACAGCAATGAACCCAGTCATTCTTTTCTTTTTTAGTTCCAATTTCCGTCACGCCTTGCAAACTTTTTGGTCATTTCGGCGAACCAATTTCTGTTGTTCATGTTTTAAGCGAAGAAAAGCAGAAGTCCCAATAAGACAAAACGAACGTGAAACTAGAGCACTGTAGTGGTACTGTAATAATACACTGTCAGGTATGTGAGATGAAGTAGTTTGCCGGCGCAAACAACGTTCCAACAGAGGATCGGACTTCCCCAATTCCTGGATCCGCCCTGGATTTCTTCCCTTCACGTATGAACAGGGCTAACTTGTCTCTATATTATTGGGAATAGGTTTCATATTTAATACCAGCTTTAAAGCATTTCCATCTTTATTTGTGATCGTTATCATCCTCGTGTATCGAGCGCAACGTAGAAGAAGGAAATATTAAAAAAAGAAGTCATTTGAATTTCTCTTTGTGAAGAGTAGCTAGAACTGAGTTCATTACGTCATTCAACTGGACGTTAGAGAAGATGCATAATGTTCGTCGGGAGTATATTGAAAGTAATTGAAATGAAATGAAAAATTAACATTTTGATAATCACAAATTCATTTCAAAGGGAGCAAATATCTCGGCAATAGTCTGATCTTTTCATAGCATTAGCACGATTATGAAGGCCTTACGGTTCGTATTACTAGTAATAATCATTGAATGTGAATCTGCGTTCGTCTTCGGTCTTATTCTCTTGCCTGTTGGATTCGGGCAAAGTGAAAAGAAATTTTTTTTGGTACTATTAATAACGATTCTAAATTCTGTTCAGCCCTCAATCATTTAGTCATTATAGGAAAGTATTTTCTTTACGTAAAACCTCTTAACGGTAAATTTTACATCTTTAATGAATTTGTTTCCCTGGCTCGTGATAAAATTAGCTTGTTATATATGTTGCTGACCGCGTGCAGTTTTCGTTTAGCCCATTTCGGCGGGTTTAACGCTTGGCTTCTCAAGCCACTAATGAGTAAATACGATTAAATTACTTCGAATTTCATGCATTTTAATGACACTTGCATCAAAAACAACACCAAAAAATTTTATTACCTCTTCCCCGCCCCTCCCCTCTCCTCCCCGCTCACTTTTCCATTGAAAGCGATAATTTTGAGATCACCATGCGCGAGGCCCAATAAAGAAAGGCCTTCCAGAACAAAGTGGCTTGCGCGCACTCAGTGAAAAGAGATACGATGGTATGATCTGCTGGACAAAAAGGGCAGCGTGGGGAGTCTTCTTTCTTCATTTTAAATAATAAGCTCTTAGTGCACAGAATATTGTGAATAATATTGTACTGGAACATTTTTATCGGCTAAGGTTTTGTTGATAGAGACATTGAGATTGGTTTAAACAGGACCATTACTCCTTTACTGTGAGTTGTACCGTGGCTAGCTACAACCTTCCCACCCCACTCGGCCCCCCATCGTTTTATAGTTCCCGTTGAAGAATAAGTTTCTTGGAGGAAAATAATGTCCGATCGTTGCAGGTGCAACCGTCGAAAAACCTGTCGTCTTTTTCTAGAACTGTTTAGCCCTCTCACATTCAGTGTCAATAGCTTATGTGACATATTTATTGCTCAATTATAAAATGAAATAGTTTCCCTTGCACGTGTGGCACAATCCATAGACAAAAGTATAAATTTATATGGCCTGGATCGCTTTCCCCTTTAGGGAAGGGAAACAAAATTGACTGCGCAAATATTAAGACGAAACAAAAAAGAAAACAAAAACACGAAACATACGAACAAAAACTCCATGACTTACCTCTGAATTTGAGCGGCGTTGACTGACTGCGCATCGAGCTAATTTGGTTTGTAAAGCACACTACTAGCCCCTAAAATATGGCCGTGAATAATAACAAAAATCAGCCTGATAAATGCTCTGAGCTAATTTATACGTCCATTAATGTCCGTAGAGAGGGAAAGCAATTGTCTCTGGGCCGCGGTAAAGCGACCCATCTATAATAATAGCCTTTCTACCTTGAAAAATGCAGTACGCTTTTCTTGCTTGGCGGCTTTTAATACTGGGTACAGCTTTTTACTCATTTCTTCTGCTTCCTTTGGAAAGTCGTCGGAAATTCCAAGATTGCGGTCTTTCGTAAGGTTTTTGATGAATGATTGAACAAACTCTTCGTCGTGGAAGCTGGAAAGCTTGACAATAATCGGTCGTCGCTTGGAATTCGTAGTGTCAGACTGATACTCGACGAGCTGATACCCTGTGCACTGTATTGAACTGAATACTTTCCTCGTCCTTTTTAGGGATCTTTAAGTCGGTAGGTAAAAATTTTCACAATAAATCTTTGGTGTCTTCGTTCGATTCATGCTCGCGTTCTTTTATTCCACAGAATTTCAAATTACCTCTGGGGCTGTGACACTCTAATTTAATATGACTGCGCTGCAATTTGGCGAGTTCACGTTGGACGCGTTGAAGTGAAGCTTCAGTGATCTTCTCAGGGGCACCTAACCACTGTTTTCTGTAAAATATCTGTTCGGAGAAGCAAATATTGCCTAGAATTTTCTATTATTTGAGAACCGCTAAAAATTTCTAGATGACTGTCTTCTGTTGTTCAGCAATGTTATCTAACTTCCGAGGCTTTCTTGCATGTTTTTCTGTTCATCTTCGAGGGATTTAACTCGGCTCTTGTAGGTTTCAAATTCCTCTGTTAACTTTAATAGTCTTTCAAGCTTGTCATCAATTTCAGCGAGACGAGTATTTGTTGACTTGCATTTTGGGCAGTCATGGCTGTCGTCCTCGAAGACATCCTCGTCTGTTTGTGAGCTTCCTTCGCGTGTACGCTTCATTTTTCTTTGTTTGAGCGCTTCGCAGGATATTTTCGGTTTGTTTTTAAGCATTACTGAATTATTATTTTGTGAGAAATGTCCATATTCGGGACCAAGAAGGCGGAGCAGTTTTAACAGAGCGATTGAAACACAACCGTCATGGTCGGCTTCGACACCAGTCTCCGGAATATAATGAAGTTAGGACCAAAAGAGTGGACACAAGGATAGTAGATCATCAAGCGAAGACAGTGACAACTCTGGAAATGAGCTGCCCTTGAATTCAGAATCGAGAGAAGAAAGACGAGGAGAAGGTGTTGAAGTATCAACGGTCCCCTGCGCTGGGAGCGTAAGCTACAGCTTTCAAAGGATACGGGATCACGCAATATAACATCATAATATATGTCTTGGGAGGATGGAGTAGTTCTGTGGAGGGCTCCCTTAGCCAATTATTAGGAACCAAATGCAAAGAGGCGTTAAAGAGAAAGCAGAGACCTATCATCTCGAGTCTTTTAAACATTGCCCGGACTTTTAAAGTTGTTGGAACATATTACAAACCTTATTTTAATCATGGAGGACATGTATATACCTTTTTAATCTTATAAACGGGGGTTAAGGAAATCTAGAGACTTGGACATTTAGCATTACTAGTTGTAGAATGTTCTTTAATTTATCTTTTTGCCATTTTGTCTATTTATTTATATACACTTCTACCTGGAGTTATGAAAACCGGGTTAGCAAACATTTTGTAATTTTTCGCAACTTCCTCTGTCTAATAGCTTGACATATGTTTACTGTGTTGTTTGCTTATGTCGGTGTTTTTTTTGCTTGTTTTGTGGCTAGGGATTTGTGTAGAAGTGGATATGTAGACAGAATGACTATCTTACCCCCGCCCCCTCTCCCGATTATTTTTTCCCTATCCACAATTCTTTCTTTAACACAAGTGACAGTTATTTGAAATCAGCGCGCGCCTAAAGCCGGTTTCGGTGCCGTTTAGCAGTTTAGCTTTATATTAGTCACCCTGAGAAAAGTTTCCCGGAGAACATCATGTAAAGCTCTGAGAAGGGACAAAGTTATTACGATTCGCAGAGTCTGCATCGTCCAATATCGTATTATATTCTCGTTTCATTTCAGCTAAACGGATCAATCACCCTGATCCGGGCTGAGACAGAAAGGTACGATATTGTTCGCTTTTCTAAGGCGACCACTAAGTTTTTGGTCTCGGGAACAGGCTCTTAGGAGTCAAATGAATTAGGTGAGAGCAAAATTGCCGGTGAACTCTGACCCTGGCCAAACTTAGTTTTTTTCTGGTGTGAAAGTTGCCTAGTCCCTAGGCCTCATTACTATGCACGGCCGATGCGTTTCGGGTCACGTGGTCCGGGAAAGTTTTTGAGGCGTCTCCCGGCCGTTCGTCTCGGATACGTCACCGAAATGCTTTGACCGAGAGGACCTGGAAAGACGCCGTACAGGGACTAGGCAAGTGTGAAAGCAAGGCTAAGGTCATCCACCGACCGTGTGACTCTACATCCGGGAACTTGAATAAGACGAGCGTAAGAGAAAAGTCCAGAAGTGTTTATCTGGCAATAGGCTGAGTTATTCCGAGTTATTCGATGATACTTCGCTTATGGTAAACGAGAGAAGATTATGCGTGGTTGTGGATAGTCTTATCAGTGCTGCGAAAGTGTGTGATTGTGTGATTTCCGCATGGTGTTGACAGGTATGTGATGGCGTAGTTGAACTGCGGTTTGGCCAAAATATTCTGTGCCAGCCATCAATATTGTTTCGTCGGTGTTTAGCTTAACTGATTGTATATTGGAGAAGCGACTCTCGACTCCGGAAAATTGGATCTAGTTTCAGCGGGCTCTAATGGAGTTGAACCATCAGCCGATTTTTGCAGATAAGAAAGTGATAATTTGTGCACTACGTTTCACTCAGTTTGTTGTCCATTCCATTCGGAATCCTGTTGTTTATCGAACCGCGAGAAAAGTAGTGTTTTCCTAACTATTTAAGTTGCTATGTAAGCCTTAACCAGGCACTCTTTCGCTGCAGTTCACTCAACGTAGAAATTTCTAGACTGAAATGACACCGGTTTGAAACTTCGCGAAGTCAGTTTACAGAAGAAATGTTCTAAAATTTGCGTCATTTTAAATTTGGACTGGTTGGAATGCTTCTAGGGACCACTAACTTACTGCCCGGCGTCAGATAAAGGCTTTTAATCGGCCTTTGAATGAGTTTTGTTGTTTTAAATTGCCAAGTAGTAGAATGAGTTGATATTTTTGCTAACCCGGTTTTCAAAAATCCAGGTATACTTGTAACTATTATTATTATATATTTTTTCTGAGGCTGTTCCTTAGTGCGCCAGGGTCACGTCCGACGTCCCTGGTGGTTGTTGCTATATGACACCCATACTGTCATAATATTAATAATATTAAATAATAATAATGATGATAATAATAACAATAATAATAATAATAATAATAATAATAATAATAATAAACGTAAGATAAAATAGAATATTAACAAGAAAATGTGAAAAGAAAATTGAAAAGGGAGGATTCTGTGTCAAAATTCATGTACGAATATGTCATGAAGCAAGCATGTCCTGCGGCTTTTTTTGACATAAAGGTAAAACGATAAGTCAGGTAAAATTATTTACAACTAAAGATGCAACTTATTTCCAAATATGCACAAGGCACGCGGAGGAATAAACCCATGACAAATACTATTAATATACATTGCTTCTATCCTCGCAAGTTGCTGTTTGGTACAATACGCCTGTCTTTGCAACATAGGCAAGGTCCACAAGTAAAACAGGCGAACAGGTTACGCAAAGCACTCGAGAATCGTGAACTATACGCAAAAAGAATTATGGGATTAACTATTGTGTTTAAGGAGGGAAAAATGTAGAAAAACAAACTGACAAAAATCATGCATGAATCCTTGGTGAAACGCGATGTAAATAGCTTTTGGAGTACAATATATAGATGAAGCGGAGTCCAACAGATGAAAAAGGCACTCACAATCCATACAAACACTTTCAGGACATTTTTGTTGTGTTGCATGTTTCTCTTTCTTGTGCGTTCCTCTTCTTCAGTCTCTACTGGTCTTGTTTGTCTCAAGCATTTCATGATTCGTGAATAGAGGATTATTGTCGAAATAAGTGGAGCACAGTAGAATATTGCAAATCCTCCTACGTAAAGGATAAATTGCTCCTTCTTGCCCCAAAAAGCGAAACTCCGACAAAACGTTTGATGATTTTCTTGAATAATTTGACTTGACGATGCCCATGGTGAAGCTATTGATAGCGCAAACAACCAAGTGAATAACTGGAGAGCAGCTCTGAGTCGGGCTGTGACTAAAATAGACTTAAACGGGAGCGCGATAGCTATGTATCTGTCTACAACGATTAGTAACAGGCTTTGAACTGAGACAGCCTGAGACACAGTTCTGAAATAAAAGCCCAGTTTACAAACAAAGACAGCCGTTGAGCCGTCTATCGGAGGTTTGCTGTATTGGACTCCTTCAGTTGCGTAGAGGGGCCAATTTGTGGAGGATGACAGAAGATCAGAAATCGCCATGTTGACTATAAAATAGTTAGTGCTCGTCTTTAGGGTGGGGCTTTGTAGAAAAGTTAGTATCACCAGGGTGTTGCCGACGAATGCCACAATACTAACAATTGAAATAGTGGATGTAAGTATTGTGGAATCTGAGGAAGAACATTCCGAAAGGTGCTCAAAACCATAAGAACTGGTGTTGTTCATGCTTCCTTTCTGGTTTATTACCGTCCGCTGAGCACTGGTCAGGATGACTTCCCGATCGACCTGTAAACGAAGAAGGTGCTTGATGAGCTTTTGAATCTTCTAATCACCTTGAGTTTCAAACGTCCTTCAACCGGATGACAGAAGCATTTGATTCAACAAGGAAAAAAAAGTAGAAACTCTTGATACCTGATACTTGGAGGGATTGAACTACAGGATTTATAGGGCTTCTGTCATAATGCACAAAACTGCGCTGAAGTAATGTACAGGCAACTATTTTAATCCCTCCAAGTATCAGGTATCAAGGGATTCTACTTTTTTTCCCTTGTTGAATGAAATGCGTCTGTCATCCGGCTGAAGGACGTCTGAAACTCAGGGTGATTAGAAGATTCAGAAACTCATCAACGAGAAAAAAATGTAGAAAAACAAACTAGCAAAAATCGTGCATGAATCTTTAGTAAAACGCAAAGATGTAAATAGTTTTTAGAGTACAATATATACCCAACAGATGAAAAAGGCACTCACAATCCATACAAACACTTTCATGACAGTTTTGTTCTGTTGCATGTTTCTCATTCTTGTACAAAATGTACAAAACCGCGCTGAAATAATATACAAGCAATATCTAAAAACTTGCCATTTCTTTTTTCCGCTTCATCACTGGTTGCAAGTGATGTAATTACAACAAATTATTTGAAATGAAGAATTATCAATACTTCCAAGTTTTTAAGTTTGTGACTACTAGTCAGTGCAGCTGAACAACTACCTCTTAAGAAATTTTCATTCTGATAGGGTTTTTGCTGAGTTTTTTGGTACAGCATGTCTTAATTTTCGGGTTGCTGTCCCCTTAGGACTACTGATCATGATACGTGACTACATTTTTCACAGCCTTTAACGCACAGTCATTAATCCCATAACCGTGACAATGTTGGTCTCTAGCTTACGATTCTCAAGCCCGTTGAGCGACCAAAAATGCTTTTAGTTTGTTGTTTTAATTGTTAACCATGCCTGTGTTGAAGAAACAGACGTTAACCAAAAAGCAATTTGTGAGAAAGCACTTTAATATTTACTTATGAGATAGAATAGAATATCTACTTGATGCAACTCATGTTGGAGTGAGCCTTCTTCTAGTTAAAAAAGGTCGCACAACTATTTAATTTTAGAAAGCAGGACTTTGGCGCGCAATTTCGGTTGATATATATGTTTTATTTATTTTATTTCCTACATCCTTTCAGCCGGAAAGGGTAAGTTGTATGAACTTACAAGAACCTTGATGGATGACCCTAAAACGAATACAAATGATTTCAATATTGACTCGTTTTAAGATTGATAAGTTATAAAGAAAATTCAAGTCACGTTTTAAGCCTGGTTATTAACGTCCTTTTTTAGAGCAGCTTTATATGAAAGAGTTTTGAATCAGAGAAAATAAATCCTGTAGTGACGGGTATATTTCGTGTGCCATTTTTGCCAGTTTGATACTCGCTGACTAAAAATGGTGCAACGGTCCGACCTCGTCCAATAGATTACATTTCCTCACATTACACAGGGCAAACCAATCAAGACCAAAAAATCAATGAGATTGGAACGAAATGTTGCCTTTAGCAAGCGTCATGATTATGTATACCTAATAGGTTTTACTGTAGTCACACCTTTAAATCTTATTTGTGTCATTTCTCTGGTGAGTTCGTCATTACATTAGAGCATTCGGAACTTTTTCCGGTTTTCCGATCGATATTATAGTAGGATTCTCATCTTGACCTCCTTCAGGGCATTTTAGTATTGCAGACATAACAGGCCGGTCCTCAATAGATTTTTTGGGATTTACGAGATTTACCTTATTTGTAGGCCAGGATTAGGGTTCATGTTTGAAGGGGAGATTCTGCATTGAACGCATGCACGAGATCCGAGTGGGATGTTGAAAATAACTATGATCGGGATTACGGGATTGGGCAAAAATTTGGGTCGGGATCAGATGGGGGATGTTCTATTGGAGACCCTGATGTAACAACACAGAGAATTCCACCAAGAATTGAAATTGCTCCGGTAAAGAAAATTCAATTTCTGTAAAAAGTTTCGCACTTTGCTAAGGAAATACTGATTAGCGACATGAACTCTAGACTTACTAGCAAGGCAAAAGGGAAATTATATTTAGCGTGCGCGCAAATTCAATTTCCAAGTGTACTTCGATTATTTTCAACTGTATTATTTCAACAAACAAGCTTAAAGACATTTTAATTGGGTTTTTTGGCTAAGGGTTAAGGCAGTTTCTCGGCGATAAACCTCTGGTGTTGTTTAACTCTAACAAAAGAATATTCAACATTGATTAAAATATAGTTTTTATAGAATAATCGAGTTTTGGGGAGTGACTGTTCTTTTTTACGTTCGGTTTAATATTGTGAGTTTTCATAGTTTTATCATACCTTATTGTGAAAGGTTATTGTATCGGCATGGGCATAAGCAAGGCCTCCTAAGTTTCAGCTACTTGGCGTGTCTTTAATTTTATTACGCTATCAAATTACAGAGTCTTAATGAACATTGTTTGCATACACCTGTTTTCTTTAAAGATATATGCAAGTCTGGATATTTGAAAAGCCTGTTTCCTTTTTGAAAAATTATAATTACGTCATCGTGAGAAGCAGTGGAAGAAGTGGCCTTGCTACCGACTGAAACGATTGTCTTCGCTTTTTCGTCTTTAAAATGATTAATAACAGGGTTCGTCCAATCTTAATCAAGTGTACAATAGTTGCTTCAGGTCACACATACCTTCGGCTGTTAAAAACTCCCTAGGAAACCCTCAGTCTTTAATTCAGGGCTAAATATGATTTGTATTACTTGGAATTATCCTCGCGTACCGAGCACAATGTAGAAAAAGAAACTATTTGAAAAGAGCTGTCATCGAATTTCCCTTACGTGCGAGGAGTAGGTAGAATTATAATAGTAATACGTGATACAATTGGACGTTGCGAAAGATGCATAATATTCATCATTCGGGGAGTATAAAAGTAATTAAAATGAAAAAATATTGACATTTTGGTAACCACAAAATAACAAAGGGAGTATAATATTAGAAATAGTTTTTTTTATAGAATTAGTTCGAACTGAAATGAAGGCCTTAAAGTTCGTTTTACAAAATGCATGCAATTTATTTTCATCAATACTCCTTATTGGCTGGACAAGACCGGCGTTAGTAGCCCGAGAACAGATAATCATGGGTAAAGGAAAAATATTAACATATTATATATTCTGTAAAATCAACAACATGAGAAGCTTAAAAAAACATTTATTTTATGTAATATTTCGATTACTGAACATTTTCCACCGACTGGAATTAATCATGTCCGAATTCTAAAAGGAAGACGCGGTTCAAAGAGTTTTTTTGTATGTATACATTATTATAACTGTGACGTATATTTTAGCTTAATATTAAAAAAAATTTTGTTCTCGCTCATTGCTTTCTTATAACTCAGGGCGTCAGACAGATAATAGATTTGAAATGCATCAAGCCTCTATCCCTCGTTTCTACATGAGCAACTTAAGTGAGAGGTGATTTTATTAGCACAGGTGAGTATGATGTATTCCAGAAAGTAAGCAGGGTGCCCCAAGATCAATTCAAGGTTATTCGGTTTAATGACAAATACAATAACAAAATCAAATATATATATCTGCAATGACAATATATCTCAGACCCGTTTGAAATGTTGCACTGAAGTGCAGTGTTGGTCTTGGCAAAGCAACAGCACAACTCGTTTCAAATAAAACTAATCGCCAAAGAGCTGTTCTTTGATACACAGCAGAATAATTTACTTGGAAAACTCCGTGCCGATAATCTCTTGTAGGAGGATACTGTCTTTACTTTTTTATGATAGTTCGACGTGAGTGAAATCGAACTCTCTGAAAAGGGATTTTTTAATCACGAAGGCTGCCATACAACGCATGCATTTTTTTACAATACGGATATTGTGTTCGTGTAACCCCAATTATCATAATGGTAATTATTTTTTGGTTATCTAAATCATGACTTATGATATGCAATGACCATGCTCCCTGATAGATTTTCCTCTTTTTGTGTTGTTGTAAGCGGTTTTAATTTTCTTCCTTATCATAAAAACTGTATACACAGTCTCACCTGAATTTTGCATGATCAATAAAGAACCCTCAGGTGCTATCGAGATGCTGATTCAGCCTGGTGAGAGTAAATAAATGTGTAAACAGAAACAAAAGATAGTGCAGAGTCAAGGAGCTCTCAACAGCTATCATTTCCGTCTTTGATATTTGTTGGGTTTCATAAGCAATCTCCTCTTTTGACTATGTCTCGATCATATAATTTTAACGTTAAGATGGATCAAAAAGCCAAATTTCTTAGCAAATGTGTTAGCCTTAATTGTCTTGTCCTCCTCCAGACGCCCTGAAAAAATATACGTTCCCGGACATTTGCCAAAACCCCAGCAATAGCTCAATATTAATAGTCCATTGGAATTCTTTAGAAAAACACTACGTGATCAGAGCCGTAGTTAGCGGAGAGGCAAGGGGGGCAGCTACCCCCCTTGGACCTGTTGAGATAGACACATCAAGTCTGTGGATGGATTTGTTTTCTTTAGACTCAGTTATTTTGATTATAAAGTGACTTGCAATTGTTTGCCGTTTTCATATTCGAGGTCGATTTTTCGGAGACATATCTCATGACAAATGCTGCATGAAATAGCGTTTCGGAGCCTCCAAGTTGAAAATTTTTCCCAGACAAGGTTCAAGGTTCGTGCCTTCGGCACTCGCGATAATGTGGCCCGTTACAAGAAACCTAGCTACGGCCCTGGTGATGTTTAAATCCGATCAGAGCAGGGTAAAATTTAAATTAGGTCGTTAACGCCTTTTCTTGGACTAAGATCGTACCCTGCCATTATCATTCATTCAAAATATTTCACTGTTTCTGATTGGCTTTGATCCCCCTGAGCTTAAGATGTGGTAGTTATACAATCTCGGATTTAAGACCGATTATATTGGCAATTGGACTGTTCACAGTCCTCTATTTTTTACGTACTAGATCATCAGGATCGAGAGCTTAATGGTACGGGCGGCTATCTTGGATCTATAACCGTCCCCCGCCCCCTAAGTAGATTTGACACTCATCCCCAGGCTAAACTAGAAACATTCGACACCAAGATGGCCGCCATAACGCAAAGCGCTCGATTTCAAAGATCTTCTGGAAAAAATGGGGAACTGTCAATAGTCAATTACCAATGCCGATCCCAACCTCGTTTCTAGTAAGCGGTGCGACAGCCTAAAAGTTTTGCCTAGAGTGCAGAACTCACTCACTGAACGGAAAACAATGCATAAATACGCAAAATATATATTCAGCTCGTATTTTTTGTGAGGAATTAATGGAAGATATCTCGGAGGGTTTTATTAACCTCGGCCTTCGGCCTTATGGCGAATAACATCCTTCTCAATCGATTTTTTTTCCATATCATACTCAGCTTGCCTCATTCATTTGTTTTAAAACATTCGATTGACTGGTTTCTGCGTTGGTCGAGTCACTTTTACTATATCTTAAAGTTTCAGTAATTAACTGGCTTTTCAATTGTATTTATTAATATTTAAACAAGATCTAACATTGTTCTTAATAATAAATACAAATTATTCATGACGCTGATATTTTTCATAACAATCCTAATAAAGAAAGCGAAAAAAAAAAAAGGAATTTAAAATGGAAACTTTCTGCATTGATGACTAGATAACTACCTTCGTTAATTTATCTCAATAACTTTTTCAGGTTAAACTACTAATCGCGGGGCGAGTACTGAAAAGCCTGTGAGTTAAGATATCTATATGGATAACTCAAGCCACGTTGGAAACGAGCCTTGCTCTCCGGCAGTTTCTATTGTCTTCACAACAGTGTTGGCTATAATCAGTTTGGATGCGTTTATTGGCAACATTTTAGTGATGACGGTGGTTTACAAGACCCCAAGCCTTAGAACAAGCACCAACTACTATTACGTCAACATGGCGGTGTCAAATTTCCTTTCTAGTCTTACATTATGGCCACTGTACCTCACTGACGAGATACATATATGTAACACAGCGAGGAAGCCTGATTAAAGGCCCAATGGCCACTGTCGGGTGTAAAGTTGGGGTGTACGTGAGGGTAGTCTCCACCTCAGTCTCTATTCTCAGTTTGGTGTTGATTGCAACCGACAGATACTTTGCTATTGTATTTCCCTTAAAACTTCAATTCTGCTGTCACGAAGAGTTAGAATAACTGCGCTAGTAGCAACGTGGGTAATATCGATGGGCTATTGCTTCCCCCAAGACGTGGGAGAAGAGCGTTTCTGAAGATTTGCATGGAACGATAGTGGTGGTCTTATAATCTATTACGTCAGTGGAATTTCTATGATTAATGTTGCGCCCCTAATTGTGATTGTGATTTTGTAATCTCGTATTATGCAAGCATTAACAGTTCGGGAGTATGCCAGTTTTGGAAGAAGCGATGACGTCATGATTCCATTGTTCTGCTAAAAACACGCAAAAATAGGAAAAAATAATCGCAAGAAACAAGGGAGCTTTTTTCAAAGCCTGTTCCAGGTCTCCTCATTCAATATTCGGGACTTCCGAGCTAGCAGTACCGATGAAGAAGCCTTCTCCTTGCTTTTTGAATGTCAAGGGAAGTTTCCTGCCACATTTCGGTAGTTAAAAGCGACAGTTTTCGAATGACCTTCGACGCCGCCGCCGCCATCTTGACGGGTATCGAATGTAAGTACATGACTTTATGTTTAGTTTTCAGTATCTTGCCGAATTTTTACGAAATCAAGACTAATTTTCCTCAAAACTACAACGTGTAAAGTGTGTTCAGGCAAAGTTTCATCGATGGCAACAACCTAGTAAAAATGGCAACCACACATTGAAAATTGCCAACGGACAGGAAGGGTTACTGATATTGATGGTTATGCCTTAGTCTGTCTATGTAGTTTTAGTTATATTCGATCAGGTCTGTTTTTGGTCGTGTTCACCGGTAACGTATGCGACTCTCAGCTAGAAATCACTTTGTCTATCCAGATCATGTGTGTGGAATGAGTTTTAAATCAGTGTGAGTAGGTTCTTATATTGATTTCTTTTGTTTTGATCAGGATTTCCGTCAAAAATGTTGACAAACATCTGGAGATATTACAAACATGTTGTCGCGTTTGTGCCAAAAAGCTGGGAAAAGGAACCATGAAGACAAAATGCTAAATATCTTCAGAACGACATATTTGTGCTCTGAGGGCAAAATATTGCTTTAGGTTCGCCTTATGTTCCACTGTAATGCAAAATTTAATGTCCAAATTCAACCCTACCTCAATAAAATTAAACATGTTTTTTTTGTTTCTTTGTAGTGTGGTCACAGGCTTACCTACCACAAAAGCCCCTCCTTTGACCCTTTCAAAAATGGGTAAGAGGGAAACAGGTTGGAGGGGGGGCTTATATACCTTGTGAGTGGAAGCTCACCTTCAATGACCATTCAACCATAGAAGAGACTGTGGCTCTTTATTCAAGGGGCTTTAACAGGAGATAGATGAGGAAGGAGTCATGGAAGTGGAGGCTTGTGAAGATTTTCTCTACATAATGTTCAATCCCTCGCGTCAAATATTGTTTATACTTTACAGATGCCAAATACATAATATGTTCAGTCCCCGTGCTGTGCAAAAGGTCAATCTGAAACATGAAAAATGCCACACTCTCCCCCATCAATCCCTGTGCATGAGCAATTAGCCCACATTTAATGTCATAATATCGAATATGTGTGTATTTGAATAAATCCTAAATTATTGAGATTCTCTTGATGAAAAAGTATCTGTGTTAATGCATCGTCTTCAACAAATCATCCTCCCTAATAAATAATACATGAGAGACATCTCACAAGATAACTATTGAAAATCGATGTCAGCTGCTACTGTCAGTCATTATATCAATTAAGTTTTGGTTTTTGGTTTTCATGTCCAAGAAGGTGTTAAAAAAACAAGATTTTGAGATAAAAGAGTGTGTATAATATGCGAGCCAGCGAGCCATGGCAGCAAGTCATGCAGGTTAGAATCAAAAACAGTAATACGGAAAGAATTAACTGTCAGGACCTAAAATAAAATGTTTATTTACAAAAAACAAAATGTAACAATAAATAACTTTTATTGTATCTTTACTCTGATGTGTGAGCTTTGTTTTCTTGAAAGTGCTGTTCAATAGAAACATGAAGAACCGGCTATGAAAAAGAACTTTGGAAAACTTATGTTGTGTCCATGCCAAGTGCAGTAATCATTATTATTTTGGGCCAAACCTTGTCTAATAGAATTGTTTGAGGGTCCCCACAGAGAAGACCTGGAGAAAAGTGCTCCTCAAAGTTACAATGCCTTTGGTTTAAAGGCAACCCAGAGTTAAAGACAATAATTTAGTATTATTCGGATGTAACATCAAATCCCATACAAGAGGATATTTTATAACAAACCATAACCCTGTTGATCTCTAACCTCTGGTCAAATCCGGTGGACTACAAGACTATAGTGTCCCATTTTAATCAACAGATCCAAAAGCATATAACAAGCATAATTCTTAGTTTTCCAATATGTATATTAAATTCTAAAGAGCCTCTTGCATTTGTTAAGCTTAACCAAATAATCAGTGAACTTCAGAAAGTGGAATATTGGAAAACAATAGGTTTTTTTGAAGCGGGACAAAAAAAAATGATCAGGGATGATAAGTAAGATTTTCACTTTGTGGGTTTTCAAGAAGAAAATGCGGGCACAATACCCTCAGAAATCCCTTGTAAACCTGTTGTATATCTGGACGGAACCGCGTCAAGACATAAACCAACAGAACATCATATTCGAAAAAACAGATATTTTACTCACAAATGACTCGCTTGCACCAAAACAATAACCTGAATTACAGCCGTCTTCTCCGGCAAGTCGCTCACTCGCGGGAGAGAAACAGAAGCAACGAGAAAAATTAATTAACACTTACTGTAAAAGCAAACATAAGGAAATGAATTATAGAACAACTCACTTTTTAGTTGTTTCCAAAGCATTCTTTCTTCCTTATGATATAAAAAAATAATGAAATAAATAGGCACAAACTTGTTAGCGTGCTTACCTATTTTCGATGTACTGATTACATACGCAGTTAGTACGCAGTGCCTACTAAGCGCGCGATAAACGAAGAACTATAGCGCAAGAATGGTTATTCCCTGTCCTCAAGGTACTTCCCAATTCATAGTAACGAAAAGACAAATAAAAGGCTCGATAAAACAAGAATAAACGAGAATTTTGGTCAATACTCTTTCCTCTCCTCTCCCTTGTCCGCCATTTTGTATGTTTTGAAAATGACCATCGCCATGGTGATCATGTTATGGTTGGTGACGTAGACCATTGTTTTCGCTTCTTCCAAAACTGGCATACTCCCGAACTGATTAAGGAAAAAATCAATGCAGGACCCCTTTCTGACACAAATTCAAAAGGCAAAAGATGCAAGCAATTGCAACACATTATGAAAACATTCAAATCAATTGTGATAGCCTATTCTGCCTGCTTTTTTATTTTTTGCGTTTATTTGATTTTAAAGTTGACTTTCCCTGCAATTTTCATCAAGTATAAATGTAAGTGGATTCTCGGCTTTTCCTATTTTGTTCTTCCGTTGCTCAGCACAGCAATGAACCCAGTCATTCTTTTCTGTTTTAGTTCCAATTTCCGTCACGCCTTGCAAACCTTGTGGCCATTTCGGCGAACCAATTTCTGTTGTTCATGTTTTAAGGAAAGAAAGGCAGAAGGGCCCAATTAGACAAAACGAACACGTGCAACTACAGCACTGTAGTGGTACTGTAATAATACACTGTCAGGTATGTGGGAAACACGATACTTTTCTTGCTGTTTATTGCACTTTATTAAATAACAGTTATTTAGGTATATATTTATAGAAAACAACAACACAAAAAACGGAAAAAAAAGAAAGAAGAAGAAAAAAAGTTGAGTAGGACTCGACCCCGGCATTACGTGACGTACGCATTACGTAACACATGCTCTTCAACAGTACCTCAATAAGGACCTTACGATACCCTGGACGGGGCGGTAAAGAGAACATGGGTTTGCCGGAGAAAGCCTGGAGCGAGGACACCGCCACATTGGCAGGAAAAACAAATTATGTTTGAGCAGGATAATGTAATGCTTTCGTGTCTTTTAGAAAAACCCGTGAAGTCTTGCTTGATTGATATCTTATTGATCTTTTATTGAAAGAAAAATATGTGCTGCCGGCTATGACTCCAGTTTCTCTAAAATTCCCCGAATTTCTTCGAGGGAAATCGGAATTCGGGTTATTAGCTATCTGTTCCCAGACTTTTCCCCTTTCCGTTGTTCTTGCTGTTAAAACAATATGGTTCTGTTATGAGAACTTCCCGTGCTAAGGCGATTTTGATCTTCAGACCGCTCAAGCGCTAAACTGAAAGTGAACAAAATAAAATATTTATTATGAAAGATAAATGAACCATGGCGTCTTGTTCAAGATCTCAATTTTCTCCGACATGTTCAAGTTTATCACAAGCCTAGATATTTGTTTTCCAACAATTTTTATTCTTCTCGTCTCTTAAATTTTTCAAATACTACCCTACAGCGAGAACGTTGCCCCCTTAAAAATAAGCAGTTATAGTGTTACATTTGGGTCACAAGACTCTGCGCTTTCATTCTCAGTTGCCGCTAAAACACTGAACCCAAAAGGCTTGATAGCAAAAAAATAAGAGTCAATCTCAAGAGAACATCACACTATTCTGTATTTTTGTATTTTATTTTTACTCCATCTTATAAAACATTAGTTGTACAATAATACATAATAATAATAATAATAAAAGAAGAAAATTAGAATGGAGAAGGGCACATTATAGCAGATTATAGTAAAACTAATCATGGCCCTTTAACAAGATTGAAAATCACACTAAAAACACTTAAATGTGTCTCTTGAAGTGAAATGGATCGAAAATCCTGAATGAAAAGCAATTTCTGCACTGAAAACAAGAAACCCAACTCACCGTTTAACGAGGCGGCCAAACTTGTAGTTTTCGCCGTCGCGACTTCAGGTCGACGCAGTGGCATTATGCTAATTAGTTCCAAAATGAACATTTCAGTTCCAGTTGAAGTCCTCCTCGGCCGCGTTCAGAGTATCTTAAGGTCCCTAATAACTGTGACGCATATTTTTGCTTAACATTCAAATAAGAATTGTCCTCTCCCATTGCTTTCTTATCAATCACACAGACAATAGATCTGAAATGCAACAAGCCTCTGTTTCTCGTACATGAATAACTGAGCCCAGGTGAGTTTGATGCATCGCATAGTTGGTCTATTTCCTACGCAGTAATATTATCAATGATAAAAATGCTATCCTGAATTTTCAAGACATAGCATTTTTTAAAGGTGGCACAGAGAGCCTCCAGGTCAATTCGGTTTAACGCAGAACACGCCGGTGACCCAGGTCCGGAAAAAGTTTTGAACGAACTATTATTTTTCCTGCCACAACCTGTTTACACGAGGCCGCTTTGCCGTTCAAAAACTTGCACGGTACCGCGGGTCGGTGTGTTAACGAAAGGTGGATCCGTGCAGGTTTTTGTCCGTTCAAAAATTTTTCCATACTTGTGTAAACGGGATCTAAGGCTCGTCTGAAGTGGCGGACTGGTCGAAGTAGGTGTCGAACTACGGCAAAGCACTGAAAAGCACAACTTATTTGAAAGTACCCGGAGAGCTCTGCTGTGATACACAACAATTGATTTGGTAGAAGCGTGCAGATAATCTTTTGTGGAGGTAATCTATAAAATTTCTATTGTGACATTTCGATTTCATGTAGTCGAACCTTTCTGTCAGGCTACTAGTGAATTGAATTTACAGGTATAGATCGACTTTCGTGGGATTTTATATCACGAGGGCAGCCATGCAATATATGTGTTTTTAAAATGCAGATATAGTGTTCAATCCACATGTAACCGATAATAGATCATAGTTTATATGAATGTGCCCTGACTATGAAGCCCGATACTAGATAATTCTCTCCTTTTAATTGCTTTTGTTATCGGTTTTCTTCCTGATCGTACTTAGGCCATGTCCAAACGAATCCAGACATTTTTGAAACCGAATATTTTTTGTCCGGATTCCTGTGGACGTGGGACGGTTAAACCTCTCTTTAAAAAATGCGGTTTCGGTATCCGCATTCACTGGTTTCGTGTGGACGGAGGGCCGATTCGTGTAAAAAACTATGCGGTTTAACAAATATCCTGATTCGTGTGAACATGGCCTTACCGTACAGTCACGCCTGATTTCTACATGACCATTTGAACCCTGTGCCACTGCGATGGTGATTCAGGGATAACGTGTAAACAAACAAAAGCAAAAGAAACAAACAAAAGATTATGCATTCAGAGTCAAGGAGCTTCCAACAGCTGTTATGTTCGCAATTGAATTTTTATAACTTTAAATGTGTAGCCTGAGATTAATCAATTTAAAACCCAAGCTAGATAAAAAAAGCCAAACTGCTTTGAAATTTTAACTCCTAAATGACCTGCTAATGGTGCAAAAAAAGGCCAGACCTCCTTCAAATGCGTCCAGCCTCTGTCCCTCGTTTCTACATGAGCAACTGATCAGAGCCAATCAGAATCGGGGAAATATTTTGAATGAATAATAATTTAGCTTAATATTCAACAAAGTATTGTTCTCGCTCATTGCTTTGTTACAATTCAGGGCGTCACACAGATAATAGATTTGAAATGCATCAAGCCTCTGTCCCTCGTTTCTACATGAGCAACTAAAGTGAGTGGTGATTTTATTAGCACAGGTGAGTATGATGTATTCCAGAAAGTAACTTCGCGCTCTATTTCGTATACGCCTTTATATCGATGATAGAACGGTGCACCCTAGATTTTCGAGGTACAGTATTTTTTATGAGTGAAGCAGGCTAGGGTGCCTCAAGATCAATTCAAGGTTATTCGGTTTAATGAGAAACACAATAACAATATACAGTATATATATATATAATGACAATATATCTCAGACCCGTTTGAAATATTTGACTGAGTCTTTGGTAAAGCAACGGCAGAACTCGTTTGAAATAAAACTAATCGCCGAAGAGCTTTTCTTTCCCTTACGTGCGAAGAGTAGGTAAAATTATAATAGTAAAACGTGATACAATTGGACGTTGCTAAAAATGCATGATATTCGTCATTCGGGGAGTATAAAAGTAATTAAATTTGAAAAAATATTGACATTTTGATAACTGCAAAATAACAAATGGATTATAATATCAGAAACAGGTTTTTTTTTTATAGAATTAGTTCGAACTGAAATGAAGGCCTTAAAATTCGTTTTGCAAAATGCATGCAATTTAAATTCATCAATACTCCTTATTGGCTGGATAAGAAAGGCGTTATAGTAGCCTGAGAACAGATAATCATGGGTCAAAGGAAAGATATTAATATATTAATATTTAAGAAAAATATTCATTTTTATACATATTTGTATGCATGGATAACGTGACTCGAGCGCTTCAATAGTACATTATAACTGTGACGTATATTTAACAATGGTTAGGGGGAAAATGTAGATTTCATTGGGTTTTCAATTTATTTCATGGCACGTGGACTACAAAATTATAAAATAGGATTTCAACTGTTTTGAATAAGTTTTTATTTAAGTCTGTGCAAACAGGAATCTTTATTCTCTGTGCAAACATTGTAACCGAGATTGTTTACTCATGTATATAATTACTGGAACAGTGGGCCTTAGGAAATTTCTGTACGCATATTATATGTATAAAGCTTAGTCACTGAATAACTAGACCTTTCGTCTGTTCAAATACCAACCGTTCGTAGTTATTAGTTTCGAGAGGGATCCTGAGCAAAGGAAACTCGAATTATTTTACACAGCTTTCTTTGTAAACTTCCTAAATTCAGTTGCTTGACTGACATTTAATTTTGAGCTATTTAGTTTAACATATGAACTTTTAAACTGAATTTATCCAGATTTGTTTTCGCTGTTCAGCTGATTTTATTCAGCCTTCTTTCCTTTTGTTTTGTGATGTTGTAATAAATTGATCGGTTAGTATAAATAGAGCACTGATTATTCCTGTTTTTCGATTTTTCATTGCGGATTTAATTGATTGTACAAGTTACTTTAACGAGCTGAGGATTAAACTGTTGAAGTCCAAGTTTGAGTCCTGTCCTGTTTCCAGTTGTAGCAGTTCCGGTACCTTGGAATAGTGACGAGTTCCTTTCCCGTTAGCCAAGCGAGTTGCGAGTTTGTTTTCCCCCTTGTTGTTCTTACGCCGAAGTCGCTCGAGTTCTCTTTACGCTTAAGTTCCCGATTTGTGCTTGGAAGGGCAAAACAAACGTTACACAATTAATCAAAAAACCTAAAAATGGCCTTTTACCAACTTTTTCACCTGATTTTACATGAAATAGACAGATCTGGTTGTTTTATGCTGAAAAGTGGATTTTTCTCAAAAAGCTTGGTACCATGCTTAACACATTCACTCCTGGAGATTTTGCCGAAAAACGCGTTTTGAAGCTAGTCGAGTGGTTTTCTGGTCACTGTCGTGCTATAAAGAGCTAAAACTTACCACAAACCGGTTTACAGGTCGTACACTTCGCGGCCTTCTAATCCAGATGCAAAATATCAGCTTGCGAAGTTCGGGCATGCGCAGAAAGCAAAATTTCGAGTTTTTGGGTTAAAAGTGACACAGCAGTCTTGACTTTTACTTTTCGCTTTCTCTCCTCCCTTCTTTTTTCGCTTTTCTTTCCTCATTTTTTTTTCTCTTGCTGGGCATTTAGTAGGCTTCATTTTGGTGGGAAGAGTTTTTAGGAAAGCTTTTAGGATCTTAAGATTAGGTGAAAGGAAAGGTAAGTGAGCAATGGAACAAGATTTTTATGGAGATTTTCAGGTCAATGCCACGTGGTTTTTTGCTTCTTTCTCCGGTGTCCTTGACTGAATTGTGCTCATTCTGGTATGGTTTGAAAGATCTCTTCGCTCTGCATAAGTTAGCGAAGAAAGTTGTCCTTGAGCGTTAAAACTGATGACGCCACAAAGGGTAGAAAGGACCTGGATACGCAAGGGCGGTTACGGGCGGTTCAGGGGCGAATGGGTTAAGGAATGAGGCTGAGTATTTTATGAAGAATTATGGAGATCGAGGAAGGTGGTTTTGAACTATTAATATTCTCGTCGGGTGCCCCTGGATAATCTCTTGTAGGAGAGTACTGTCTTTACTCTTTTATGATAGTTCGACGTGAATGAAGTCGAACTCCCTGAAAAGGGATTTTTTAGTCACGAAGGCGGTCGTACTGCATGCATTTTTTTACAATACGGATATTGTGTTATTGCCAACTTGGGTATTTATGTTCAAGTTCAAAGCTCAATAGACAGAACGGCTGTACCGTTCTCGCCACAACAAAGTACAACTAAAGTTGCTCTTACAAAAGCAATAAGCACAAAGCCAACCCGGCAACTGATGAGGTTCGTTTGGAGAACCGAAACCATGGTCTTGCCTGATCACAAACTGTGGCAATCACAAAGCAGTTTAAAGACTGTTAAGGTTATTCATAGCTATTACCAAGGGAGCAACTACGCGCTCCAGTCAAAAGACTCACACTATCTTTAGAAAAACACTAAGCTGGAGTTTACTGAGTCACAATTCAATTCTCCATAGTAAGTTTATGTAGCTTCATTTTAAGCTGCAATTCACTCTTATAATTTTGGATCTGTAAGTCACTATCCGTGATGATTTAACATTCTGCGAAGAAAACTGACGAGCTGGGCCCAGCGTGATACAGCATTGTAGAAAAACATTACACTCACGGACTAAAGAAAATTGCTTAGTTATTCAGATCCAGAAGGCACTTTGGAGAAAATTGGAACCCTTATTCAGCCGTAATAAACGCTTCAAAAGAGGTCAAAGAAAATGCGCTTGCATCAGAGGGCAAATCCTGCCGACCAGAAAACAATAACTACAGTCAATCTATATGTATGTCATGACCTCTCAGTGTGAAACATGCGGCTAAAATCACATTTGCTCAGTTTAAATGCAGAACCTTCCAGAGCATAATCTACCCAGCAGATAAAAACAATTCTGTTGGAATAAGCAGCATTTTAGCATGAGGTAAAAGTCGTGTAGGCCTATCACCCCCTTTTATTGCTATGCATTGTTTCTGATTGGCTTTTACCTCCCTAGGCTTAAGTGGGCGTTATACAATCGCGGATTTAAAGACGATTATATTGGCAATTTGACTTTTCACAGTCCTCTATTTTCTACGTAAGATCACCAGGATCGAGAGCTTACTGGTACGGGAGGCTATCTTGGTTCCATAACCGTCTCCCGCCCTCTAAGTAGATTTGACACTTATCCCCAGGCTAAAATCAAAACATTTGAAACCAAGATGGCGGCCCTAACGCAAAGCGCTCGATCTCAAAGATCTTACGGAAAAATTGGGAACGTGTTCTTAAGGAAAAATGGGCAATTGGTTTTTTGCGTTGGTCAAGTTACTTTTATAACTATATCTTAAAGTTTCAGTTTTTAACTGGCTTTTCAATTGTATTATATTTAAACAAGATCTAACATTGTTCTAAATAATAAATACAAATGACTCATGACGTTCATGTTTTTCATCCCAATCATAGTAAAAAAAGCGAAAAAAAGAAAATTAAAATCGAAACTTTTTGCTTTGATAACTAAATAACTACCTTCATTAATTTATCTCAATAACTTTTTCAGGTTAAACTACTAATCGCAAGTACTTATTAAGATATTTACATGGATAACTCAAGCCACGTTGGAAACGAACCTTGCTCTCAGGCAGTTTCTATTGTCTTCACAACAGTGTTGGCTATAATCAGTTTGGTTGCGTTTATTGGCAACATTTTAGTGATGACGGTGGTTTACAAGACGCCAAGCCTTAGAACAAGCACCAACTACTATTACGTCAACATGGCGGTGTCAGATTTCCTTTCTAGTCTTACATTATGGCCACTGTACCTCACTGACGAGATAATAACACAGCGAGGAAGCGTGATTAAAGGCCCAATGGCCACTGTCGGGTGTAAAGTTGGGATGTACGTGAGGGTAGTCTCCACCTCAGTCTCTATTCTTAGTTTGGTGTTGATTGCAACCGACAGATACTTTGCTATTGTATTTCCCTTAAAAACTTCAATTCTACTGTCAAGAAGAGTTAGAATAACTGCGCTGGTAGCAACGTGGGTATTATCGATGGGCTATTGCTTCCCTATGATTTATTTCTCTAAAGTGGAAGACGTGGGAGAAGAGCGTTTCTGCAGATTTGCATGGAACGATACTGGTGCTCTTATAATCTACTACGTCAGTGGAATTTCTATGTTTAGTGTTGCGCCTCTAATTGCGATTGTGATTTTGTATTCTCGTATTATGCAAGCATTAAGAAAAAAATTCAATTCAGGACCCCTCTCTGGAAACACAAATTCAGAAGGCAAAAGATGCAAGCAATTGCAACACATTATGAAAATATTCAAATCAATTGTGATAGCCCATTCTACTTGCTTTTTTCTTTTTTTGCGTGTATTTGATTTTGAAGATGACTTTCCCTGAAATTTTCATCAAGGATAAATGTAAATGGATTCTTGGCTTTTCCTATTTTGTTCTTCCGTTGCTCAGCACAGCAATGAACCCAGTCATTCTTTTCTTTAGTTCCAATTTCCGTCACGCCTTGCAAACTTTTTGGCCATTTCGGCGAACCAATTTCTGTTGTTCATGTTTTAAGAGAAGAAAAGCAGAAGACCCAATAAGACAAAACGAACACGTGCAACTACAGCACTGTAGTGGTACTGTAGTAATACCCTGTCAAGTATGTGGGATGAAGTAATTTGCCGGCGCAAACAACGTTCCAACAGAGGATCGGACTTCCCCAAATTCCTGGATCCGCCCCGGATTTCTTCCCTTCACATATACGCACAGGGCTAAACTTGTTTTTATATTATATTCGCTCAAACCCGAATGAGGTTCCAACTAGTGACCCGAAGGAAATAAGCAATATTCTTAACAAATATTTCGCCACTGTTGGGAGCAAACTGGCTTCTAAAATTCCTCAGACCATAAATACATTCTATGATTATTTAGATCCGCCACTTAATCGCACTTTCTTCTTTGATCCTATTATTCCGGAAGATATCAATTTAGAAATTTCAGTTTTGCAAGACAACAAGGCCCATGGTCTCTACTCATCTCCAGTTAGGCTGCTGAAATTAGCAAAAAGGTTCATATCCGTACCTCTAGCCACGATTTTTAATCAGTCTATTTGCTCAGGGATTTTTCCATCTAAACTAAAGTGTACTAAGATTATCCCGATATTTAAGGACGAAGATGACACGCTGCCCGAAAACTACCGACCTATTTCTCTGCTCTCGATTTATAACAGGATTTTTGAAAAACTTATGTACTCCAGAGTTACCAAGTTTGTCAAAGATTGCAACATTCTCTATGATCAGCAATACGGTTTTCGCAGTAAGCACAGTACTCAGCATGCTGTACTTGATATTGTTAACACAATTCTCCAAAACATGGACAACGGTAAATTTTCGTGCGGTGTTTTCATCGATCTCAAAAAGGCTTTTGATACTGTTAACCATGAAATTTTGTTAGCTAAACTTGAAAATTATGGTATTAGAGGTGTAATAAACTCCTGGTTCAGATCATACCTGACTGATCGGAAGCAAACTACGGAAGTTAATAATGTTGTGTCTGAGGCTGAAACGACCCTGTGCGGCGTGCCACAAGGCTCAGTCCTCGGACCACTCTTATTCCTACTGTACATCAATGATATTTACAAGTCCTCTTCGTTATTTGCCTTTTATCTATTTGCTGACGATACTAGTATAATACTTGCAAATAACAACCTAAAGGAACTCGAAACACTTGCTAATCGCGAGCTTGGCAACGTCAACGAATGGCTAAAGGCCAACAAACTGTCCTTGAACATAAAAAAATCAAATTTTGTAATCTTTCGTCCCCGGCAAAAGAATATGCCCTTCATACCTAGGATTAGAATTTTTGACTCCGTGACTAACACCTACGCAAACCTTGAAATGAAAGATTATGTAAAATATCTTGGCTTAATGATTGATTCAAATCTTTCATGGAAATACCACATCGAATCTATCTGTCACAAAATCAGCAAGTCGATAGGAATTATAGCTAAAATTCGACATTATGTCCCGCGTCGTGTTTTACTTTCAGTTTACAACTCATTAATTGTCCCTTACTTGACTTATGGTATTTGTGGTTGGGGAAATTGTGCCTTGACATTTCAAAGAAAGATCGTAACTCTACAAAAACGGGCCTTACGTCTCATTTACTTCAGTAAGTCTAAGGAACACGCCGTACCCTTCTTTCTCAAATCAAATTGCCTTCCCCTGCCTAGCATATTTTTCAGAGATTGTAGCTATTTATTGTATGATATCAACAGACAGACAGCACCAGTTAGTATTCTCAATCAGTTCGTTAAAACAAGTCAGATTCATAACTACAGAACAAGATCTGTCTCTAGCGACTCGTTTTATGTCAAGTTCTCTAGAACCGATAAAATGTATGCCTTTTTCACGAGAATCGGTGCCCAAATTTGGAACTCTATTCCGTATTCGATTAAAATACTTAAACGTTCGTCCTTTCGTAAAAAAATAAAGGAATTATTACTAAATTTTTTGCGGTCAGAAGATGATTATGTCGAAGTCTCCCGTCTTATTAAGTTATTTAATACTTTAGGTTAACCTCTCTTCGTAATCGTTATGTACATGCCTTGTTTTATGTCAGTTTAAATTCTATTTACTGTATTGTAGTGTCTTCACTGTTATTTAGTCCATCTATATATAAATCTTGTTTTGTAATATGTCTTCAGCTCCCCCCGCCTCGATTAGTTCATAAGCTATTTGCGGGTGGGAAAGTAATGTAATTAGTTATTTTCCAATTTTCAATAAAATTTGTTGTTGTTGTTATTGGGAATAGTTTTCATATTTAACACCAGCTTTAAACCATTTCCATCTTTATTTGCGATCGTTATCATCCTCGTGTACCGAGCGCAGCGTAGAAGAAGGAAATATTTAAATAAGAAGTCATTTGAATTTCTCTTTGTGAAGAGTAGCTAGAACTGAGTTAATTACGTCATTCAACTGGACGTTACAGAAGATGCATAATGTTCGTCGGGAGTATATTGAAAGTAATTGAAATGAAAAGAAAAATTGACATTTTGATAATCACAAATTAATTACAAAGGGAGCAAATATCTCGGCAATAGTCTGATCTTTTCATAGCATTAGCACGATTATGAAGGCCTTACGGTTCGTATTACTAGTAATAATCATTAACTGTGGATCAGCGTTCGTCTTCGGTCTTATTCTCTTGCCTGTTGGATTCGGGCAAAATGGGAAAAGTGAGCGGGGAGGAGAGGGAAGTGGAGGAGAGAGGAAGAGGTATTGCCAAGAGCCATAATAGGAATATTATTGCTCTTGGTATTGCGTAATAAAATTTTTTGAAGGTGTTGTTTTTGTTACGAGTGTCATTAAAATGCATGAAATTCGAAGTAATTTAATCGTATTTACTCATTGGTGGCTTGAGAAGCCAATCGTTAAACTCGAAAACAGATGATCATGGGCTGCACGCGGTCAGCAACATATATAAGAAGCTAATTTTATTACGAGCTAGGGAAACAAATTCATTAAAGGTGTAAGATTTACCGTTAAGAGCTTTTATGTAAAGAAAATACTTTCCTATAATGACTAAATGATTGAGGGTTGAACAGAATTTAGAATTCTTGTTAATAATACCAAACTTAATTTCTTTTATTGAAAGCGATAATTTTGAGTTCACCATGCGCGAGGCCCAATCCAGAAACGCCTTCCAGAACAAAGTGGCTTGCGCGCACTCAGTGAAAAGATGTACGATGGTATGATTTGCTGGACAAAAAGGGCAGCGTGGGGAGTCTTCTTTCTTCATTTTAAATAATAAGCTCTTAGTGTACAGAATATTGTGAATAATTTTGTACTGGAACATTTTTATCGGCTAAGGTTTTGTTGATAGGGACATTGAGATTGGTTTAAACAGGACCATTGCTCCTTTACTGTGAGTTGTACCCGATGCACTCGGCCTCCCATCGTTTTATAGTTTCCGTTGAAGAATAAGTTTCTTGGAGGAAAATGATGTCCGATCGTTGCAGGTGCAACCATCGAAAAACCTGTCGTCTTTTTCTAGAACTGTTTAACCCTCTTACATTCAGTGTCAATAGCTTATGTGACATATTTATTGCTCAATTATCAAATGAAATAGTTTCCCTTGCACGTGTGGCACAATCCATAGACAAAAGTATAAATTTATATGGCCTGGATCGCTTTCCCCTTTAGGGAAGGGAAGCAAAATTGACTGCGCAAGTATTAAGACGAAACAAAAAAAGAAAACAAAAACACGAAACATACGAACAAAAACTCTATGACTTACCTCTGAATTTGAGCGGCCGTGACTGACTGCGCATCGAGCTAATTTTGGTTTGTAAAGCACAATACTGGCCCCTAAAATATGGCCGTGACTAATAACATAAATCAGCCTGATAAATGCTCTGAGCTAACTTATAAGTCCATTAAATGTCCGTAGAGAGGGAAAGCAATTGTCTCTGGGCCGCGGTAAAGCGACCCATCTATAATTAGCCTTTCTACCTTGAAACATGCAGTACGCTTTTCTTGCTTGGCGGCTTTTAATACTGGGTACCGCTTTTTCCTCATTTCTTCTACTTCCTTTGGAAAGTCGTCGGAAATTCCAAGATTGCGGCCTTTCGTGAGGTTTTTGATGAATGATTGAACAAACTCTTCGTCGTGGAAGCTGGAAAGCTTGACAATAATCGGTCGTGGCTTGGAATTCGTAGTGCCAGAAGATACTCGACGAGCTGATACCCTGTGCACTGTATCGAACTGAATACTTTCCTCGTCCTTTTTAGGGATCTTTAAGTCGGTAGGTAAAAATTTTCTCAATAAATCTTTTGTGTCTTCGTTCGATTCATGCTCGCGTTCTTTTATTCCACAGAATTTCAAATTACCTCTGGGGCTGTGACACTCTAATTTAATATGACTGCGCTGCAATTTGGCGAGTTCACGTTGGACGCGTTGAAGTGAAGCTTCAGTGGTCTTCTCAGGGGCACCCAACGACTGTTTTCTGTAAAATATCTGTTCGGAGAAGCAAATACTGCCTAGAATTTTCTATTATTTGAGGACGGCTAAAAATTTCTAGGTGACTGCCTGTTCCCTGTCTTCTGTTGTTCAGCAATTCCGAGGCTTTCTTGCATGCTTTTCTGTTCATCTTCGACGGATTTAACTCGGCTCTTGAAGGTTTCAAATTCGTCTGTTAACTTTAATAGTCTTTCAAGCTTCTCATCAATTTCAGCCAGACGAGTATTTGTTGACTTGCATTTTGGGCAGTCATGGCTGTCGTCCTCGAAGACATCCTCGTCTGTTTGTGAGCTTCCTTCGCGTGTACGCTTCATTTTTCTTTCTTTGAGCGCTTCGCAGGATATTTTTGGTTTGTTTTTAGGCATTACTGAATTATTACTTTGTGAGAAATGGCCATATTCGGGACCAAGGCGGCGGAGCAGTTTTAACAGAGCGATTAAAACACGTCCGTCATGGTCGGCTTCGACACCAGTCTCCGGAATATAATGAAGTTAGGACCAAAAGAGTGGACACAAGGATAGTAGATCATCAAGCGAAGACAGTGACAACTCTGGAGATGAGCTGCCCTTGGATTCAGAATCGAGAGAAGAAAGACGAGGAGAAGGTGTTGAAGTATCAATGGTCCCCTACGCTGGGAGCGTAAGCTACGGTTCAAAGGGTACAGGATCACACAATATAAAATCAGAATATATGTTTTGGGAGGATGGTCTAGTTCTATGGAGGGGTCCCTTAGCCAATTATTAGGAACCAAATGCAAAGAGGCGTTAAAGAGAATGCAGAGACCTATCATCTCTAGTCGTTTAAACATTGCCCGGACTTTTAAAGTTGTTGGAACATATTACACACCTTATTTTAATCATGGAGGACATGTATATACCTTTTTAATCTTATAAACGGGGGTTAAGGAAATCTAGAGACTTGGACATTTAGCATTACTAGTTGTAGAATGTTCTTAAATTTATCGTTTTACCATTTTGTCTATTTATTTATATATACTTCTACCTGGAGTTATGAAAACCGGGTTAGCAAACATTTTGTAATTTTTCGCAACTTCCTCTGTCTAATTAGCTTGACATATGTTTACTGTGTTGTTTGCTTATGTCGGTGTTTTTTTTGCTTGTTTTGTGGCTAGGGATTTGTGTAGAAGTGGATATGTAGACAGAATTACTATCTTACCCCCGCCCCCTCTCCCGATTATTTTTCCCTATCCACAATTCTTTCTTTAACACAAGTGACAGTTATTTGAAATCAGCGCGCGCCTAAAGCTGGTTTCGGTGCCGTTTAGCAGTTTAGCTTTATATTAGTCACCCTGAGAAAAGTTTCCCGGAGAGCATCATGTAAAGCTCTGAGAAGGGACAAAGTTATTACGATTCGCAGAGTCTGCATCGTCCATTATCGTATTATATTCTCGTTTCATTTCAGCTAAACGGATCAATCACCCTGATCCTGGCTGAGACAGAAAGGTACGATATTGTTCGCTTTTCTAAGGCGACCACTAAGTCTTTGGCCTCGGGAACAGGCTCTTAGGAGTCAAATGAATTAGGTGAGAGCAAAATTGCCTGTGAACTCTGACCCCGGCCAAACTTAGTTTTTTTCTGGTGTGAAAGTTGCCTAGTCCCTAGGCCTCATTATTATGCACGGCCGATGCGTTTCGGGTCACGTGGTCCGAGAAAGTTTTTGAGGGAAGACGCCGTACAGGGACTAGGCAAGTGTGAAAGCAAGGCTAAGGTGATCCGCCGACCGTGTGACTCTACATCCGGGAACTTGAATAAGACGAGCGTAAGAGAAAAGTCCAGAAGTGTTTATCTGGCGATAGGCTGAGTTTTTCCGAGTTATTCGATGATATTTCGCTTATGTTAAACGAGAGAAGATTATGCGTGGTTGTGGATAGTCTTATCAGTGCTGCGAAAGTGTGTGATTGTGTGATTTCCGCATGGTGTTGACAGGTATGTGATCGCGTGGTTGAACTGCGGTTTGGCCGAAATATTCTGTGCCAGCCATCAATATTGTTTCGTCGGTGATTAGCTTAACTGATTGTACATTGGAGAAGCGACTCTCGACTCCGGAAAACTGGATTTAGGTCTAGTTTCAGCGGGCTCTAATGGAGTTCAACCATAAGCCGATTTTTACAGATAAGAAAGTGATAATTTGTGCACTACGTTTCACTCAGTTTGTTGTCCATTCCATTCGGAATCCTGTTGTTTATCGAACCGCGAGAAAAGTAGTGTTTTCCTAACTATTTAAGTTGTTATGTAAGCCTTAACCAGGCACTCTTTCGCTGCAGTTCACTCAACGTAAAAATTTCTAGGCTGAAATGACACCGGTTTGAAACTTCGCGAAGTCAGTTTACAGAAGAAATGTTCTAAAATTTGCGTCATTTTAAATTTGGACTGGTTGGAATGCTTCTAGGGACCACTAACTTACTGCCCGGCGTCAGATAAGGGCTTTTAATCGGCCTTTGAATGAGTTTTGTTGTTTTAAATTGCCAAGTAGTAGAATGAGTTGATATTTTTGCTAACCCGGTTTTCAAAAATCCAGGTATACTTGTAACTATTATTATTATATATTTTTTCTGAGGCTGTTCCTTAGTGCGCCAGGGTCACGTCCGACGTCCCTGGTGGTTGTTGCTATATGACACCCATACTGTCATAATATTAATAATATTAAATAATAATAATGATGATAATAATAATAATAATAAACGTAAGATAAAATAGAATACTAACAAGAAAATTGAAAAGGGAGGATTCTGTGTCAAAATTCATGTGCGGATGTCATGAAGCAAGCATGTCGTGCGGCTTTTTTTGACATAAAGGTAAAACGATAAGTCAGGTAAAATTATTTACAACTAAAGATGCAACTTATTTCCAAATATGCACAAGGCAAGCGGAGGAATAAACCCATGACAAATACTGTTAATATACATTGCTTCTATCCTCACAAGTTGCTGTTTGGTACAATACGCCTGTCTCTGCAACATAGGCAAGGTCCACAAGTAAAACAGGCGAACAGGTTTCGCAAAGCACTCGAGAATCGTGAACTATACGCAAAAAGAATTATGGGATTAACTATTGTGCTTAAGGAGGGAAAAATGTAGAAAAACAAACTAACAAAAATCATGCACGAATCTTTAGTAAAACGCGAAGATGTAAATAGCTTTTGGAGTACAATTTGTACGCAAAGTGGAGTCCAACAGATGAAAAAGGCACTCACAATCCATACAAACACTTTCATGACAGTTTTGTTCTGTTGCATGTTTCTCATTCGTATTCTTGTGTGTTCCTCTTCTTCAGCCTCTACTGGTCTTGTATGTCTCAAGCATTTCATGATTCTTGAATAGAGGATAATCGTGGAAATAAGTGGAACACAGTAGAATACTGCAAATCCTACCACGTAAAAGATAAATTGCTTCTTCTTGCCCCAAGAAGCGAAACTTCGACAATACGTTTGATAATTTTCTTGAATAATTTGAATAGACGATGCATATGGTGAAGCTATTGATAGCGCAAACACCCAAGTGAATAACTGGAGAGCAGTTCTGAGTCGGGCTGTGACTAAAATAGACTTAAACGGGAGCACGATAGCTATGTATCTGTCTACAACGATTAGTAACAGGCTTTGAACTGAGACAGCCTGAGACACAGCTCTGAAATAAAGGCCCAGTTTACAAACAAAGACAGCCGTTGAGCCGTCTATCGCAGGTTTGCTGTATTGGACTCCTTCAGTTGCATAGAGGGGCCAATTTGTGGAGGATGACAGAAGATCAGAAATTGCCATGTTGACGATGAAATAGTTCGTGCTTGTCTTTAGGGTGGGGCTGAGTAGAAAAGTTAGTATCACCAGGGTGTTGCCGACGAATGCCACAATACTAACAATTGAAATAGTGGATGTAAGTATGGTGGAATCTGAGGAAGAACATTCCGAAAGGTGCTCAAAACCATAAGAACTGGTGTTGTTCATGCTTCCTTTCTGGTTTATTACCGTCCGCTGGCCACTGGTCAGGATGACTTCCCTCTTAAGTTTGTATGAAACGATCGACCTGTAAACGAAGAAGGTGCTTGATGAGCTTTTGAATGTTCTAATCACCTTGAGTTTCAAACGTCCTTCAACCGAATGACAGAAGCATTTGATTCAACAAGGAAAAAAAAGTAGAAACTATTGATACCTAATACTTGGAGGGATTGAACTACTGGATTTATAGGGCTTCTGTCATAATGCACAAAACCGCGCTGAAATAATGTATAGGCAACTATTTTAATCCCTCCAAGTATCAGGTATCAAGGGATTCTACTTTTTTTCCCTTGTTGAATCAAATGCTTCTGTCATCCGGTTGAAGGACGTCTGAAACTCAGGGTGATTAGAAGATTCAGAAGCTCATCAGAATCCCATAACCGTGACAATGTTGGTCTCTAGCTTACGATTCTCAAGCCCATTGCGCGACGAAAAATGCTTTTAGTTTGTTGTTTTAATTGTTAACCATGCCTGTGTTGAAGAAACAGACGTTAACCAAAAAGCAATTTGTGAGAAAGCACTTTAATATTTACTTATGAGATAGAATAGAATATCTACTTGATGCAACTCATGTTGGAGTGAGCCTTCTTCTAGTTAAAAAAGGTCGCACAACTATTTAATTTTAGAAAGCACGACTTTGGCGCGCAATTTCGGTTGATATATATGTTTTATTTATTTTATTTCCTACATCCTTTCAGCCAGAAAGGGTAAGTTGTATGAACTTACAAGAACCTTGATGGATGACCCTAAAACAAATACAAATGATTTCAATATTGACTCGTTTTAAGATTGATAAGTTATAAAGAAAATTCAAGTCACGTTTTAAGCCTGGTTATTAACGTCCTTTTTTAGAGCAGCTTTATATGAAAGAGTTTTGAATCAGAGAAAATAAATCCTGTAGTGACGGGTACATTTCGTGTGCCATTTTTGCCAGTTTGATACTCGCTGACTAAAAATGGTGCAACGGTCCGACCTCGTCCAATAGATTACATTTCCTCACATTACACAGGGCAATTCAATCAAGACCAAAAAATCAATGAGATTGGAGCGAAATGTTGCCTTTAGCAAGCCTCATGATTATGTATACCTAACAGGTTTTACTGCAGTCACACCTTTAAATCTTATTTGTGTCATTTCTCTGGTGAGTTCGTCATTACATTAGAGCATTCGGAACTTTTTCCGGTTTTCCGATCGATATTATAGTAGGATTCTCATCTTGACCTCCTTCAGAGCATTTTAGTATTGCAGACATAACAGGCCGGTCCTCAATAGATTTTTCGGGATTTACGAGATTTACCGTATTTGTAGGCCAGGATTAGGGTTCATGTTTGAAGGGGAGATTCTGCATTGAACGCATGCACGAGATCCGAGTGGGATGTCGAAAATAACTATGATAGGGATTACGGGGTTGGGCAAAAATTTGGGTCGGGATCAGATGAGGCGATGTCCTATTGGAGACCCTGATGTAACAACACAGAGAATTCCACCAAGAATTGAAATTGCTTAGGTAAAGAAAATTCAATTTCTGTAAAAAGTTTCGCACTTTGTTAAGGAAAAACTATTAGCGACATGAACTCTAGACTTACTAGCAAGGTAAAAGGGAAATTATATTTAGCGTGCGCGCAAATTTAATTTCCAAGTGCACCTCGATTATTTTCAACTGTATTATTTCAACAAACAAGCTTAAAGACATTTTAATTGGGTTTTTTTGGCTAAGGGTTAAGGAAGTTTCTCGGCGATAAACCTCTGGTGTTGTTTAACTCTAACAAAAGAATATTCAACATTGATTAAAATATAGTTTTTGTAGAATAATCGAGTTTTGGGCAGTGACTGTTCTTTTTTTACGTTCGGTTTAATATTGTGAGTTTTCATAGTTTTATCATACCTTATTGTGAAAGGTTATTGTATCGGCATGGGCATAACCAAGGCCTCCTAAGTTTCAGCTACTTGGCGTATCTTTAATTCTATTACGCTATCAAATTACAGAGTCTTAATGAACATTGTTTGCATACACCTGTTTTCTTTAAAGATATATGCAAGTCTGGATATTTGAAAAGCCTGTTTCCTTTGATAACAGCGCACGAACCCAAGTTTGAAAAATTATAATTACGTCATCGTGAGAAGCAGTAGAAGAAGTCGCCTTGCTACCGACTGAAACGATTGTCTTCGCTTTTTCGTCTTTAAAATGATTAATAATAGGGTTCGTCCAATCTTAATCAAGTGTACAATAGTTGCTTCAGGTCACACATACCTTCGGCTGTTAAAAACTCCCTAGGAAACCCTCAGTCTTTAATTCAGGGCTAAATATGATTTGTATTACTTGGAATTATCCTCGTGTACCGAGCACAATGTAGAAAAAGAAACTATTTGAAAAGAGCTGTCATCGAATTTCCCTTACGTGCGAAGAGTAGGTAGAATTATAATAGTAATACGTGATACAATTAGACGTTGCGAAAGATTAATAATAATAATAATAATTTAAACATATTTATGCAGGATTGCTGCTTCAGTTTTAAGAAAAAAAAAACTGCTATCAATGCAGGTCCTGTAAAAAATTAAAAATGAAAAAATAAAAATAAAAAAGATTTAAAATATAGATAAAAATCAAATCACAATATTACAAAGTAGTCACAAAGATGCATAAGATGCAAAGATGCAAGATGCATAATATTCATCACTCGGGGAGTATAAAAGTAATTAAAATGAAAAAATATTGACATTTTGGTAACTACAAAATAACAAAGGGAGTATAATATTAGAAATAGTTTTTTTATAGAATTAGTTCGAACTGAAATGAAGGCCTTAAAGTTCGTTTTACAAAATGCATGCAATTTATTTTCATCAATACTCCTTATTGGCTGGAAAAGACAGGCGTTAGTAGCCCGAGAACAGATAATCATGGGTAAAGGAAAAATATGAACATATTATATATTCTGTAAAATCAACAACATGAGAAGCTTAAAAAAACATTTATTTTATGTAATATTTCGATTACTGAACATTTTCCACCGACTGGAATTAATCATGTCCGAATTCTAAAAGGAAGACGCGGTTCAAAGAGTTTTTTTGTATGTATACATTATAACTGTGACGTATATTTTAGCTTAATATTCCAAAAATTTTTGTTCTCGTTCATTGCTTTCTTATAACTCAGGGCGTCACACAGATAATAGATTTGAAATGCGTCAAGCCTCTGTCCCTCGTTTCTACATGAGCAACTTAAGTGCGGTGATTTTATTAGCACAGGTGAGTATGATGTATTCCAGAAAGTAACTGCGCGCTCTATTTGGTATACGCCCTCATATCGATGATAAAAGTGCTACCCCAGATTTTCGAGGTACATTATTGTTTAAGGGTGAAGCAGGGTGCCTCAAGATCAATTCAAGGTTATTCGGTTTAATGACAAACACAATAACAATATCAAATATATATATGCAATGACAATATATCTCAGACCCGTTTGAAATGTTGCACTGAAGTGCAATGTTGGTCTTTGGCAAAGCAACAGCACAACTCGTTTGAAATAAAACTAATCGCCGAAGAGCTGTTCTTTGATACACAGCAGAACAATTGCCTTGGTAAACTCCGTGCCGATAATCTCTTGTAGGAGGGTACTGTCTTTACTTTTTTATGATAGTTCGACGTGAGTGAAATCGAACTCTCTGAAAAGGGATTTTTTAATCACGAAGGCTGCCATACAATGCATGCATTTTTTTAAAATACGGATATTGTGTTCGTGTAACCTCAATTGTCATAATGGTAATTATTTGTTGGTTATCTAAATCATGACTTATGATATGCGATGACCATGCGCCCCGATAGATTTTCCTCTTTTTGTGTTTTTGTAAGCGGTTTTAATTTTCTTCCTTATCATAAAAACTGTATACACAGTCACACCTGAATTTTACATGATCAATAAAAAACCGTCAGGTACCATCGAGATGGTGATTTAGCCTGGTGAGAGTGAATAAATGTGTAAACAGAAACAAAAGATAGTGCAGAGTCAAGGAGCTCTCAACAGATGTTATTTCCGCCTTTGATATTTGTGGGGTTTCATAAGCAGTCTCCTCTTTTGACTATGTCTTGATCATATAATTTTAAAGTTAAAATGGATCAAAAAGCCAAATTTCTTTGCAAATGTTATTAGCCTTAATTGTCTTGTCCTCCTCCAGACTATACGCCCTGAAAAAATATATATTCCCGGACATTTGCCAAAACCCCAGCAATAGCTCAATAATAATAGTCCATTGGAATTCTTTAGAAAAACACTACGTGATCAGAGCCGTAGTTAGCGGAGAGCTAAAGGGGGCAGCTACCCCCCTCGGACCTGTTGAGATAGACACATCAAGTCTGTGGATGGATTTGTTTTCTTTAGACTCAGTTATTTTGATTATAAAGTGACTTGCAATTGTTTGCCATTTTCATATTCGAGGTCGATTTTTCGGAGACATATCTCATGACAAGTGCTGAAAATAGCGTTTCGGAGCCTCCAAATTGAAAACTTTCTGGGGGAGGATACCCCCAGACCCCCCTACAAGGTTCGTGCCTTCGGCACTCGCGATAATGTGCCCCGTTACAAGAAATCTAGCTACGGCCCTGCTGATGTTTAAATCCGATCAGAGCAGGGTAAAATTTAAATTAGGTCGTTAACGCCTTTTCTTGGACTAAGATCGTACCTTGCCATTATCATTCATTCAAAATATTTCATTGTTTCAGATTGGCTTTGATCCCCCTAAGCTTAAGATGTGGGCGATATACAATAGCGGATTTAAGCTCGATTATATTGGCAATTGGACTGTTCACGGTCCTCTATTTTTTACATACTAGATCATCAGGATCGAGATCTTACTGGTATGGGCAGCTATCTTGGATCCATAACCGTCCCCCGCCCCCTAAGTAGATTTGACACTCATCCCCAGGCTAAACTAAAAACATTCGAAACCAAGATGGCCGCCATAACGCAAAGCCCTCGATCTCAAAGATACTTATGGAAAAAATGGGGAACTGTCAATAGTCCAATTACCAATGGCGATCCCAACCTCGTTTCTAGTAAGCGGTACGGCAGCCTAAAAGTTTTGCCTAGAGTGCAGAACTCACTTACTGAACGGAAAACAATGCATAAATACGCAAAGTATATATTGAGCTCGTTGTATTTTTTTTGGGAGGAATGGCAGATATCTCGGAGGGTTTTATCAACCTCGGCCTTCGGCCTTATGGAGGATAACAACCTTCTCAATCGATTTTTTTTTCATATCATACTCAGCCTGCCTCATTCATTTGTTTTAAAACATTAGAGTGACTGGTTTTCTGCGTTGGTCGAGTCACTTTTACTATATCTTAAAATTTCAGTAATTAACTGGCTTTTCAATTGTATTTAATTTATTAATATTTAAACAAGATCTAACATTGTTCTTAATAATAAATACAAATTATTCATGACGCTGATATTTTTCATAGCAATCCTCATAAAGAAAGCGAAAAAAAAAGGAAATTAAAATCGAAACTTTTTACATTGATGACTAGATAACTCCCTTCATTAATTTATCTCAATAACATTTTCAGGTTAAACTACTAATCGCGGGGCGAGTACTGAAAAGCCTGTGAGTTAAGATATCTACATGGATAACTCAAGCCACGTTGGAAACGAGCCTTGCTCTCAGGCAGTTTCTATTGTCTTCACAACAGTGTTGGCTATAATAGTTTGGATGCGTTTATTGGCAACATTTTAGTGATGACGGTGGTTTACAAGACCCCAAGCCTTAGAACAAGTACCAACTACAATTACGTCAACATGGCGGTATCAGATTTCCTTTCTGGTGTTACATTATGGCCACTATACCTCACTGACGAGATAATAACACAGCGAGGAAGCCTGATTAAAGGCTCAATGGCCACTGTCGGGTGTAAAGTTGGGGTGTACGTGAGGGTAGTCTCCACATCAGTCTCTATTCTCAGTTTGGTGTTGATTGCAACCGACAGATACTTTGCTATTGTATTTTCCTTAAAAAGTTCAATTCTACTGTCACGAAGAGTTAGAATAACTGCGCTAGTAGCAACGTGGGTAATATCGATGGGCTATTGCTTCCCTATGATATATTTCTCCAAAGTGGAAGACGTGGGAGAAGAGCGTTTCTGCAGATTTGCGTGGAACGATACTGGTGCTATCATAAAATCTATTACGTCAGTGGAATTTCTATGATTAATGTTGCGCCTCTAATTGGGATTGTGATTTTGTATTCTCGTATTATCCAAGCATTAAGGAAAAAATTCAATGCAGGACCCCTTTCTGGAAACAGAAATTCAGAAGGCAAAAGATGCAAGCAATTGCAACACATTATGAAAATATTCAAATCCATTGTAATAGCCTATTCTGCTTGCTCTTTTCTTTTTTGCGTTAATTTGATTTTAAAGATGACTTTCCATGATATTTTCATCAAGGATAAATGTAAGTGGATTCTTGGCTTTTCCTATTTTGTTCTTCCGTTGCTCAGCACAGCAATGAACCCAGTCATTCTTTTCTTTTTTAGTTCCAATTTCCGTCACGCCTTGCAAACTTTTTGGTCATTTCGGTGAACCAATTTCTGTTGTTCATGTTTTAAGGGAAGAAAAGCAGAAGTCCCAATAAGACAAAACGAACGTCAAACTACAGCACTGTAGTGGTATTGTAGTAATACACTGTCAGGTATGTGGGATGAAGTAGTTTGCCGGCGCAAACAACGTTCCAACAGAGGATCGGACTTCCCCAATTCCTGGATCCGCCCTGGATTTCTTCCCTTCACGTATGAACAGGGCTAAACTTGTCTCTATATTATTGGGAATAGCTTTCATATTTAATACCAGCGTTAAAGCATTTCCATCTTTATTTGTGATCGTTATCATCCTCGTGTACCGAGCGCAACGTAGAAGAAGGAAATATTAAAAAAAGAAGTCATTTGAATTTCTCTTTGTGAAGAGTAGCTAGAACTGAGTTAATTACGTCATTCAACTGGACATCACAGAAGATGCATAATGTTCGTCGGGATTATATTGAAAGTAATTGAAATGAAAAGAAAAATTAACATTTTGATAATCACAAATTCATTTCAAAGGGAGCAAATATCTCGGCAATAGTCTGATCTTTTCATAGCACGATTATGAAGCCCTTACGGTTCGTATTACTAGTAATAATCATTGAATGTGGATCTGCGTTCGTCTTCGGTCTTATTCTCTTGCCTGTTGGATTCGGGCAAAATGAAAAGAAATTTTTTTTGGTATTATTAATAACGATTCTAAATTCTGTTCAGCCCTCAATCATTTAGTCATTATAGGAAAGTATTTTCTTTACGCAAAACCTCTTAACGGTAAATTTTACATCTTTAATGAATTTGTTTCCCTAGCTCGTGATAAAATTAGCTTCTTATATATGTTGCTGACCGCATGCAGTTTTCGTTTAGCCCATTTCGGCGGGTTTAACGCTTGGCTTCTCAAGCCACTAATGAGTAAATACGATTAAATTACTTCGAATTTCATGCATTTCAATGACACTTGCAACAAAAACAACACCTTCAAAAAATTTTATTACCTCTTCCCCGCCCCTCCCCTCTCCTCCCCGCTCACTTTTCCATTGAAAGCGATGATTTTGAGATTACCATGCGCGAGGCCCAATCCAGAAAGGCCTTCCAGAACAAAGTGGCTTGCGCGCACTCAGTGAAAAGATATACGATGGTATGATCTGCTGGACAAAAAGGGCAGCGTGGGGAGTCTTCTTTCTTCATTTTAAATAATAAGCTCTTAGTGCACAGAATATTGTGAATAATATTGTACTGGAACATTTTTATCGGCTAAGGTTTTGTTGAGAGAGACATTGAGATTGGTTTAAACAGGACCATTACTCCTTTACTGTGAGTTGTACCGTGGCTAGCTACAACCTTCCCACCCCACTCGGCCTCCCATCGTTTTATAGTTCCCGTTGAAGAACAAGTTTCTTGGAGGAAAATAATGTCCGATCGTTGTAGGTGCAACCATCGAAAAACCTGTCGTCTTTTTCTAGAACTGTTGTCTTCTTACATTCAGTGTCAATAGGTTATGTGACATATTTATTGCTCAATTATAAAATGAAATAGTTTCCCTTGCACGTGTGGCACAATCCATGGACAAAAGTATAAATTTATATGGCCTGGATCGCTTTCCCCTTAAGGGAAGGGAATCAAAATTGACTGCGCAAATATTAAGACGAAACAAAAAAGAAAACAAAAACACGAAACATACGAACAAAAACTCCATGACTTACCTCTGAATTTGAGCGGCGTTGACTGACTGCGCATCGAGCTAATTTGGTTTGCAAAGCACAATACTGGCCCCTAAAATATGGCCGTGAATAATAACATAAATCAGCCTGATAAATACTCTGAGCTAACTTACACGTCCATTAAATGTCCGTAGAGAGGGAAAGCAATTGTCTCTGGGCCGCGGTAAAGCGACCCATCTATAATTAGCCTTTCTATCTTGAAACATGCAGTACGCTTTTCTTGCTTGGCGGCTTTTAATACTGGGTACCGCTTTTTCCTCATTTCGTCTACTTCCTTTGGAAAGTCGTCGGAAATTCCAAGATTGCGGCCTTTCGTGAGGTTTTTGATGAATGATTGAACAAACTCTTCGTCGTGGAAGCTGGAAAGCTTGACAATAATCGGTCGTGGCTTGGAATTCGTAGTGCCAGAAGATACTCGACGAGCTGTTACCCTGTGCACTGTATCGAACTGAATACTTTCCTCGTCCTTTTTAGGGATCTTTAAGTCGGTACGTAAAAATTTTCACAATAAATCTTTGGTGTCTTCGTTCGATTCATGCTCGCGTTCTTTTATTCCACAGAATTTCAAATTACCTCTGGGGCTGTGACACTCTAATTTAATATGACGGCGCTGCAATTTGGCGAGTTCACGTTAGACGCGTTGAAGTGAAGCTTCAGTGGTCTTCTCAGGGGCACCTAACCACTGTTTTCTGTAAAATATCTGTTCGGAGAAGCAAGTATTGCCTAGAATTTTCTATTACTTGAGGACCGCTAAAAATTTCTAGATGACTGTCTTCTGTTGTTCAGCAATGTTATCTAACTTCCGAGGCTTTCTTGCATGCTTTTCTGTTCATCTTCGAGGGATTTAACTCGGCTCTTGTTGGTTTCAAATTCCTCTGTTAACTTTAATAGTCTTTCAAGCTTCTCATCAATTTCAGCGAGACGAGTATTTGTTGACTTGCATTTTGGGCAGTCATGGCTGTCGTCCTCGAAGACATCCTCGTCTGTTTGTGAGCTTCCTTCGCGTGTACGCTTCATTTTTCTTTGTTTGAGCGCTTCGCAGGATATTTTCGGTTTATTTTTAGGCATTACTGAATTCATATTTTGTGAGAAATGTCCATATTCGGGACCAAGAAGGCGGAGCAGTTTTAACAGAGCGATTGAAACACAACCGTCATGGTCGGCTTCGACACCAGTCTCCGGAATATAATGAAGTTAGGACCAAAAGAGTGGACACATCAAGCGAAGACAGTGAAAACTCTGGAAATGAGCTGCCCTTGGATTCAGAATCTAGAGAAGAAAGACGAGGAGAAGGTGTTGAAGTATCAATGGTCCCCTACGCTGGGAGCTTAAGTTACAGTTCAAAGGATACAGGATAACACAATTTAAAATCATAATATATGTCTTGGGAGGATGGTCTAGTTCTATGGAGGGGTCCCTTAGCCAATTATTAGGAACCAAATGCAAAGAGGCGTTAAAGAGAAAGCAGAGACCTATCATCTCGAGTCGTTTAAACATTGCCCGGACTTTTAAAGTTGTTGGAACATATTACAAACCTTATTTTAATCATGGAGGACATGTATATACCTTTTTAATCTTATAAACGGGGGTTAAGGAAATCTAGAGACTTGGACATTTAGCATTACTAGTTGTAGAATGTTCTTAAATTTATCTTTTTACCATTTTGTCTGTTTATTTATATATACTTCTACCTGGAGTTATGAAAACCGGGTAAGCAAACATTTTGTAATTTTTCGCAACTTCCTCTGTCTAATAGCTTGACATATGTTTACTGTGTTGTTTGCTTATGTCGGTGTTTTTTTTGCTTGTTTTGTGGCTAGGGATTTGTGTAGAAGTGGATATGTAGACAGAATGACTATCTTACCCCCGCCCCCTCTCCCGATTATTTTTTCCCTATCCACAATTCTTTCTTTAACACAAGTGACAGTTATTTGAAATCAGCGCGCGCCTAAAGCCGGTTTCGGTGCCGTTTAGCAGTTTAGCTTTATATTAGTCACCCTGAGAAAAGTTTCCCGGAGAGCATCATGAAAAGCTCTGAGAAGGGACAAAGTTATTACGATTCGAAGAGTCTGCATCTTCCAATATCGTATTATATTCTCGTTTCATTTCAGCTAAACGGATCAATCACCCTGATCCGGGCTGAGACAAAAAGGTACGTTATTGTTCGCTTTTCTAAGGCGACCACTTAAGTCTTTGGTCTCGGAAACAGGCTCTTAGGAGTCAAATGAATTAGGTGAGAGCAAAATTGCCGGTGAACTCTGACCCAGGCCAAACTTAGTTTTTTTTCTGATGTGAAAGTTGCCTAGTCCCTAGGCCTCATTATTATGCACGGCCGATCCGTTTCGGGTCACGTGGTCTGAGAAAGTTTTTGAGGCGTCTCCCGGCCGTTCGTCTCGGATACGTCACCGAAATGCATTGACCGAGAGGGCCTGGAAAGACGCCGTACAGGGACTAGGCAAGTGTGAAAGGAAGGCTAAGGTCATCCACCGACCGTGTGACTCTACATCCGGGAACTTGAATAAGACGAGCGTAAGAGAAAAGTCCAGAAGTGTTTACCTGGCAATAGGCTGAGTTTTTCCGAGTTATTCGATGATATTTCACTTATGTTAAACGAGAGAAGATTATGCGTGATTGTGGATAGTCTTATCAGTGCTGCGAAAGTGTGTGATTGTGTGATTTCCGCATGGTGTTGACAGGTATGTGATCGCTTGGTTGAACTGCGGTTTGGCCAAAATATTCTGTGCCAGCCATCAATATTTTTTCGTCGGTGTTTTGCTTAACTGATTGTACATTGGAGAAGCGACTCTCGACTCCGGAAAATTGGATCTAGGTCTAGTTTCAGCGGGCTCTAATGGAGTTGAACCATAAGCCGATTTTTGCAGATAAGAAAGTGATAATTTGTGCACTACGTTTCACTCAGTTTGTTGTCTATTCCATGCGGAATCCTGTTGTTTATCGAACCGCGAGAAAAGCAGTGTTTTCCTAACTATTTAAGTTGTTATGTAAGCCTTAACCAGGCACTCTTTCGCTGCAGTTCACTCAACGTAAAAATTTTCAGACTGAAATGACACCGGTTTGAAACTTCGCGAAGTCGGTTTACTAAAGAAATGTTCTAAAATTTGCGTCATTTTAAATTTGGACCGGTTGGAATGCTTCTAGGGACCACTAACTTACTGCCCGGCGTCAGATAAAGGCTTTTAATCGGCCTTTGAATGAGTTTTGTTGTTTTAAATTGCCAAGTAGTAGAATGAGTTGATATTTTTGCTAACCTGGTTTTCAAAAATCCAGGTATACCTTATTTATTCGAATAAGCGCCCAACCTCGAATTAGCGCCCACCTCGAATAAGCGCCCATCCCAAAGGCAGAAAAAGTTAATAAGCGCCCACCCTCGAATAAGCGCCCACCCCCTACTCCTCCCAATAAAACTCAAATAAGCGCTCACCCCACCCCACTCACTTGAGTGAGTAAATTCTAATAAGAGACTTCCCCGAGGACGGAGTCTTCTTCAGAGTATTTTACAGAAACCTTGCTTTGTTACTTCTTCGCGTTTTGTTATTAGCATTTATTGTTTTGTTATAAAATAAACATACTTCACTTGCTGAAAATGGTGGAAATTTAATAACCGCCAAGCCTCGAATAAGCGCCCACCTCGAATAAGCGCCCACTCTCAAGGTCCAAAAATTTAATAAGCGCCCAGGGCGGTTAATCGAATAAATACGGTACTTGTAACTATTATTATTATATATTTTTTCCTGAGGCTGTTCCTTAGTGCGCCAGGGTCACGTCCGACGTCCCTGGTGGTTGCAGCTATATGACACCCATACTGTCATAATATTAACAATATTAAATAATAATAATGATGATAATAATAATAATAATAAACGTAAGATAAAATAGAATATTAACAAGAAAATGTGAAAAGAAAATTGAAAAGGGAGGATTCTGTGTCAAAATTCATGTACGGATATGTCATGAAGCAAGCATGTCCTGCGTCTTTTTTTGACATAAAGGTAAAACGATAAGTCAGGTAAAATTATTTACAACTAAAGATGCAACTTATTTCCAAATATGCACAAGGCACGCGGAGGAATAAGCCCATGACAAATACTATTAATATACATTGCTTCTATCCTCACAAGTTGCTGTTTGGTACAATACGCCTGTCTTTGCAACATAGGCAAGGTCCACAAGTAAAACAGGCGAACAGGTTTCGCAAAGCACTCGAGAATCGTGAACTATACGCAAAAAGAATTATGGGATTAACTATTGTGTTTAAGGAGGGAAAAATGTAGAAAAACAAACTAACAAAAATCATGCACGAATCTTTAGTAAAACGCGAAGATGTAAATAGCTTTTGGAGTACAATTTGTACGCAAAGTGGAGTCCAACAGATGAAAAAGGCACTCACAATCCATACAAACACTTTCATGACAGTTTTGTTCTGTTGCATGTTTCTCATTCGTATTCTTTTGTGTTCCTCTTCTTCAGCCTCTACTGGTCTTGTATGTCTCAAACATTTCATGATTCTTGAATAGAGGATTATCGTGGAAATAAGTGGAACACAGTAGAATACTGCAAATCCTACCACGTAAAAGATAAATTGCTTCTTCTTGCCCCAAGAAGCGAAACTCCGACAATACGTTTGATAATTTTCTTGAATAATTTGAATAGACGATGCATATGGTGAAGCTATTGATAGCGCAAACACCCAAGTGAATAACTGGAGAGCAGTTCTGAGTCTCGCTGTGACTAAAATAGACTTAAACGGGAGCACGATAGCTATGTATCTGTCTACAACGATCAGTAACAGGCTTTGAACTGAGACAGCCTGAGACACAGCTCTGAAATAAAGGCCAAGTTTACAAACAAAGACAGCCGTTGAGCCGTCTATCGCAGGTTTGCTGTATTGGACTCCTTCAGTTGCATAGAGGGGCCAATTTGTGGAGGATGACAGAAGATCAGAAATCGCCATGTTGACTATGAAATAGTTAGTGCTCGTCTTTAGGGTGGGGCTTTGTAGAAAAGTTAGTATCACCAGGGTGTTGCCGACGAATGCCACAATACTAACAATTGAAATAGTGGATGTAAGTATTGTGGAATCTGAGGAAGAACATTCCGAAAGGTGCTCAAAACCATAAGAACTGGTGTTTTTCATGCTTCCTTTCTGGTTTACTACCGTCCGCTGGGCACTGGTCAGGATGACTTCCCTCTTAAGTTTGTATGAAACGATCGACCTGTAAACGAAGAAGGTGGTTGATGAGCTTTTGAATCTTCTAATCACCTTGAGAAGGCTGAAGGACTGAAGGACGACTGAAGGACGTCTGAAACTCAGGGTGATTAGAAGATTCAGAAGCTTATCAACGAGAAAAAATGTAGAAAAAAAAACTAACAAAAATCGTGCATGAATCTTTAGTAAAACGCAAAGATGTAAATAGTTTTTAGAGTACAATATATGCCCAACAGATGAAAAAGGCACTCACAATCCATACAAACACTTTCATGACAGTTTTGTTCTGTTGCATGTTTCTCATTCTTGTACAAAATGTACAAAACCGCGCTGAAATAATATACAAGCAATATCTAAAAACTTGCCATCTCTTTTTTCCGCTTCATCACTGGTTGCAAGTGATGTAATTACAACAAATTATTTAAAATGAAGAATTATCAATACTTCCAAGTTTTTAAGTTTGTGACTACTAGTAGTGCAGCTGAACAATTACCTCTTTAAGAAATTTTCATTCTGATAGGGTTTTTGCTGAGTTTTTTGGTACAGCATGTCTTAATTTTCGGGTTGCTGTCCCCTTAGGACTACTGATCATGATAGGTGACTCCGTTTTTCACAGCCTTTAACGCACAGTCATTAATCCCATAACCGTGACAATGTTGGTCTCTAGCTTACGATTCTCAAGCCCATTGAGCGACCAAAAATGCTTTTAGTTTGTTGTTTTAATTGTTAACCATGCCTGTGTTGAAGAAACAGACGTTAACCAAAAAGCAATTTGTGAGAAGGCACTTTAATATTTACTTATGAGATAGAATAGAATATCTACTTGATGCAACTCATGTTG